TGATGCTTCTGAACATTACGACACTTTAAAGAACGTTATCCTTAAAGTTGGTGATCTAACCGACCAACAAATATTAAAGTATCTATCCTACAACATTGATTTGCAACACACTTCAGCAATAGAAGTGTGCCAGAAGTCATTGATCAACGAACCTTTGGCGGGGGCTTGTTAATACAGATCTTGTCTAAGCTTCCACAACAGTTGTAGGTGGTTCTTGTCTCGTCTCAAAATAATGCAGTGTACAAGCTGAACGTATCTGCCGATCGGACTCTGGAGATCATCAGAACCCCAACGCCGAGGTTTATTCTGTAAAATAAAAGCCTCAAACCACGCAAAATAACGTCACAGACCTATGCCAAACTCTGACACGTTATCTTAGTATTCGTCATAATCAAAGACGCTACCAAAACTGCTCTAAGGAGTTCTTCGTGAAAAAGACCTGTCTCAAGACCACAGAAGGCAGATAATCCAGATCAGTGCTGACACCACAACAGATATGGTAAGTCCTCCAGAAATCCCTGAGACCCTACATTTCCCGAGCCTCAAACCGTCCTACAGGAAAACGTTTTCTGGAAACTTCCCTGCCGATATGCGTCATCGGTAACCGTAGCTGGCGAATACAGATGTCTGTTCTATTTCACTAATGTGATGACAAAGGTTGGATATCTCGTTGACACTGGAGCAAAAGTTAGCGTTGTTCTCATAACAGCTGTCTGCATGAACTAGCACTGTAATAATAGACTTAATCCAAAAATTGTAGATTTGTCATGATACAACTGTCTAGTCTATAAGATCATATGTGGAAGTCACATCATATTCTATAACAACTCATCTCATCGTAACAACCACCAATATATGATGTAGAACAAACTTAGGTGAGAGATAGAACAATATATTTAATATGAATAAAACATATATGGCAACATTCATGAAAGACCACGGCTGCAAGGCTGATCCATGCCATCCAATACTCCAAACTGTAGCAAATGCGAACGAAATGACCGTGTGTAAGCGAAAATGTTGCAAAACACATTTGGACCACAGGTATTCAAAAATAATCCATTAATTTCATGCTGCACGCCGAGGTAAAAATAAATTCTCCTAAGCGTATATGAAGCCACTATATTTTAGACTTTTTTCGTGAGTTATGCACAAGATATCAATGTACGACGTTAGGACATTCTCTCAAAGCTTACTGTTCAACCCATTAAATAAAAAAACAAAAAAAATAACCATGTGCAGAAGAAATCATCAATCAGCACAAATACCTCAAATTTCCATGCCTCGATTTTTCCAGTGAATGTTCAGCCTTCCTATCTTGTGACAAATATAGTTCTAAAGTTGCACAATCACTGAAGCTGTAGAATAAAGGTGAGAAATAGGCTATCAGGCCGCTGACTAAAAATGTTACACTTGACTGTGTTTTCGGTGGTTAAGTCTCTGAATATGACACACATTGTTCATATGACAATAGGTCCAGAACAATTTGATATGAACTTAGAACAAGTAGCAGTACTGAACTTAGTGTATAATGTAGAAATCATCTGCTAGGTCCAAAATATGCTCTAGTAATAAAACATAAACTGGGTTTACTTTGGCACTGTCGCTTATAAGCACCAGAAGTTGTATTAAAATAAAAAACACTGACAATAGAATAATCAGCAATTGCATTGTAGTGAAATGATGACAAGACTACATTAGACTAGCCAAATCGGTATTGCGTGGAAATCGATACAGCCTGTCCGTAGTGTCAATTAGTCAGTGTCTCAAGTATTTATAAATCAATATAATAAGAAAATATGATCAATACATAGGAAGACTGTCAACCAAACAAAGGAATACTGGAGGAATTCTCATATAAGGGTATTCAGATCATTCATACAACTGAGCACAATTTACCTAATAGAATTAAGCTAATGCATTTGACAGTTACATGCTCAGTTAGATATCGTATTCTAAAATGAATATACAATTATGTCCATTAAACATGTCTGTATTCATTAAAATACTAACTTCTTTTAGTATCAGTATGGGGATTTGCGAAGATTGTAATACTTTAACAGTTGAATTCACTAGCCGATCAAAGCTAGACCACCACTGAAAACCTAGAAGCACTGAAGAACGGTTTCATCTTCAAATTGTACTGATACGAATATATAAGAAGTAGCGCATTCACGACAAATAATATTTAAATTGAATAATTTCAGTTTTAGATAGGAATAATCCTGAGTATCTATTATGACAGATCAAGTTAAATAAACGGTTTAAACCTCATCATTTTGCAATTGTAAAAAGGATGAAATTTCGAAGATTTTTATTATAGGCTAACTGAATTATACGTTAGTATTTGGCTTATTTGGCCTAAAACGGGCTATTTCATATTGTGGTGTGTGTTGCTTATATCCACAAAAATAGTGTATAACAGTGGTCAGGCATAGAATGTATTTCAGCAGAAGATCGACAAGGAAAGAACGGAAAAGGAAAGCAATTGGTATGCAAAGGAATTAGCAATGAAATATGAGACAATGGACTGATATTTGTAAAAGAAACAGTGAAGTTTGAGACGATGGATTGACATTTTGCAAATTAACTATTTACTATATGGTTCTCAGATTTTATTGAGATGCTCTATAATACCGTGCTAATTCCATTCCGATGTCCCCACTGACGTTCCGTTCACTACAATATTACTTTCAGTTAAGAGACTTTTATTCATGTGCATTATTGTTCTATATTCACTAATGAAAATCTTATCCTGTCGTTTAGTAGATATCTTCATCTAAGATGGTGGTTGAAGGTAGATGCTTGAAAACCCTAAACTCATGTTTCGTCCTACATGACACTTGTCATCTATGTGTGACTACAATGTTGAGAGAATTGATGGTAACTGGCCAACCTAGTCAAGTGTCATCCAGCTTCATAATAATAGACATTACCATTAAGCTATTCAGGACTGAGACATATTGACAGTTGATTGATCATTGAGTTATGACCAATGTAATAATATTAGTCACTACTCAATGATCTGTGAATTGTATAATATTTTCATTTTATTATATCTGCATTTTGTGTTCTGTTGATAGAGTAAAGCTTTCTATGCTCAAATTTTAAGAGTTTCGAACCATATACATACTCTTCGGTCAGTGATTTTCAATATAATCACAGACGTCATCTGTCATTACTTAAAACACCATATATTGTACAAACAGTAAGTATTTAGTGTGCTTAGCTGACATTATTAATTTATTTGAACACATAAATATTGGTACAAGTGGGAACCAGATACATATGAACCACACAAATGTCATTTGATTTGTGTGAGGGGTGTGATACTGCCTGGGTGCCCAAACCGAAGTAGATGGTTTTCTTAGGGAGCCACAAACGGAGCCTTTGGCCTAAAGGTCTGATCCACAAGGCAGTAGAGCATCTTAAGATGCAGTTCCATGGTATCCGGTCAACAATGATTGGTTCATACGCCATTTGTTTTCCCAGGGTACTGGAGCTCATGTGCACCATTGGTTTGGAATCATGGTTTTCCAACGCCCCTAGGTGGATTCTGTGTGTCCACCAACCCGTTTAAATCACTGGACATTCGCTTTTCATTCTTTCAATTTCGTAAACAACACCCGTGTTGCGAGAAGGTGGTGATTAGGACTTCCCTGGCCTAGGCTATAAACGCGTGGCCATGTGGGAACATTTGGAAAGGGAGTGTGGACTCTTCCCACTCTCGGCCTTCTCAGAGCATTTGAGGGGCGCTTAGATGAAACATTGAGAGGAGTTTAACTTTACCTTTACAGTAACTAACATTATTTGAGAAACATGTGAATAGACAAAAAAACATTTTTTTAATAATTTAAATTTAAAAAAATATATTTGATTCAAATCTACAAAACAGAATGAATTCCCCCCTCAAATGTAAATTCATCAAATTCAACAACAATAATACAATCTAATCCACTACATTCTCTTTTTTATTTTCTTTTTTCGTTTTTTTTTCTTCAAAAATTAATTCCCATCATTTTTATCATTAAAGATATTGAACATTGAAATGTAGTGGTTTATTCACTTTATGCATCTTTGATCAATATACACATAGATACAAGAGAAAAATGTATGTTTTTGTATATATCTATTTTTCTTTTTCTTTTTTTTTTCTTTGAAAGAGAAGAAAGAGTAAAGGGTTTATCAATAAAAAATAAGTTGAGGTTCTAAAGTATACAAAACAACTTTGTTGCTGTTGTTGTTGTTGCTGAGGAAAAATAATGATAATTCTAACTACATCTCATATATAACTAAATCATAATAAGATAGAATTATTTAATGATTTGTACATCTTGTCTGGTAATAATGAAACATTCAATCACTTACATACACACAAAAAATTAGGTGAATCAGTGAAGAAACATGCGTAAAGATACTTTTAGAAATGTTACAATCAAACAAAATAATTTCTATCCAAATTCTTCTCTTTGTACATGAATAGAAATAAGAAGAAAACGATAGAAAAAATACAAAACAAAAATGATATCTGAGAGAAAAAAGGAGAAAAAAGAATCCATTTCAACAGAAGTGAATGTGTATCGTTTTAGTGAATGTATACAAAATGAGTGTATATATATGTATGTATATATATTTCAGATGGGTTTTGTGAAGATTGTAGTAAGTTCAATGGTTAAGATCATGAATCAGTTGAAGCTAGACCACCATGAAAAATCTGGAAGCACTGGACAGCCGTTTCGTCCTATTGTAGGACTCCTCAGCAGAGGGAGAGGTCGTGGATGCGCACTGCTGAGGAGTACCACAGTAGGACGAAACGGCCGTTTAGTATTTCCTGGTTTTCTACGGCGGTGTAGGTTCAAATGACTCATGATCTTAACCATTGAAACATATATATATATATATATATATATATATATATATATATATATATATATATATGTTAATTAGTAAACAATGTACATATCATATGTCTATGTAATATTGAAATTACAATATCTATTTTAATTAAAATCATGTGATATAGATGGATGTTTATGTAATAATTTTTTAATTGGATTAGATTTTGGTGTTTCAGGTGAAATTTGTCTTGAACTAGTTAAACTTTGACTACGAAAATCATAATTACGTGGTGGTAATTGAAATGTCACTACACGATTCTCTGGTGAATAATGATGTGTTCTACCATATTGATGTAAACATGGACGTGAATGAATTATTGTTGTTGGTATAATAGATTTTGAAGGGGATAAACCATTTTTTGAATTTTTAACATTATTATTACTAATACTGTTATTATTATTATTATTATTATTATTATTATTATTATTATTGTTACTATGAGCAATGTTTGTTTGTGTTGAAGTGACAGTATCAGTCCCAGCAACTGAATATATCGATTTTAATCGTTTCTCATTATTATTATTATTATTGTTATTATTACTATTATTAGAATTATGAAAATGGATTAATTGATTATTGAATGAATTTTCATTTTTAATAAAATATTTAGTAAATTCATTAAAATCTTTTTGTATTCTATCAAGTTTTTGATTCATTTGTATCAATTCTGATTTGATTAAAGTAATATCATTTTGGGTTTGATAGAAATTTATACAAAGAGTTGAAATCAGCTGATTTTGTTTTGTTAGTTTATCATTATTATTATTATTATTATTATTATTATTATTATTATTGTTAATAGTAGTAGTAGTGGCAGTATTGTTAATGTTGTTTGAATCGATGAACACATCATTTAGTTGATTGTAATTTTCATCTTGACCGTAACTGTCAGTATTATAACTGTTAAAATAATTAAAAGTAATACAATAAAAGTGTAATATTTATTTTAAGGTATTATTATTATTATTGGTGTAATAACAAATGTACTCACAATTGCAACAACCAGTTGCCACACTTTGCCACCAAATGCCCTGCTACGGCCGAGAGTGAGGAGAGTCCGCTCTCCCTCTCCAAATGCTCTCTCACATGGCCACGCGTATATAGCCTCTGTCAAGGAAGTCCTACTCACTACCTTCTCACAACACGGGTGTTGTTTACGAAAATGAGAGGACGGAAAGCAAATGTCCGGCACTTTAATCGGATCCCAAACCGAACCAATGGTGCACATGGCGTATGAACCGATTGTTGGTTACCGGCTTCCACGGGACTTCATCTCCTTACGATACTCAAATGCCTTGTGGGTCAGACCTTCAGGTCGAAGGCTCGGGGAATGGCCCCCTAGGAAAACCACTTGCTTCGGTATGGGCACCCGGGCAGTATCACGGCCCTCACACATATTGAATGAGATTTTTGTGGCGCATATGTATTTAGTGCCTCCTTGTACCAATATCTATATGTTAAAATAAATAAGTAAATACTCACAATTGATTAGAAATGACTGATAATGTTCAAGAAATTGAATTATATTATTAGTGGTTCGAGATTTGACTTTATTTGGATTATGAGATGGTGGAGATTTATAGTTCAGGTGCATCATTTTGATAGAGTTTTATTCTTTGAGGTGAATGATTTGATTTTAGAGCTTTCATTATTCTTCTGAACGACATTACCAGTAAAAACTTTAGGTAGAAGTGAAGTGTAGTTATGTAATGATTAAATTTTTAATTAATTACAAGTTTGATATAATATAAAGGGGAATAGTTGTCTACGAAAGATACTGAATGTACGTTGATCGGATATCTACTGTGGAAGAGAACAAACCAACTTCCAGCTGAAGAGGAAGCTAAGAAAAGATATTTGGAATGAATAGGACATACATTGTGGAAATCACCAAATTGCATCATGAGGTAAGCCCTAACATGGAATCCTGAAGAGAAGTGGAAAAAATGAAGGCTAAAGAACACATTACGTCAGGAATTGGAAGCAGACATGAAAATGATAAATATCAGCTGGAAACAACTGGAAAAGATTGTCCAGGAGAGGGCTGGACGTATAATGCTGGTGAAAGGCCTGTGCTATTAGATGAGGAGTTAAGACGTTAGTACGCAAGTATGCGAAATGACCCTGAACCTGTTAAGTAAACAATGATAGGTTTAAGGTCAACAAGAACTAATCAACCTCAAGGTGTACAACAGTGCAAGTTGTGAACCACATGTGAAGAAATTCGAACACTTCACTTCTATCTGAAGTTTGTTCTGATGATGTCGTTCAAAAGAAAGATGACAGCTCCACGACCAAATCATCCGGCGTTATACACCAACGTGATTTAAGTCGATAAAGATAAAAGAGAACAGACAATATGTATATTTGAATAACAATCAATTATACTATCTACTTGGAGTCAGATCTGGGCCAAAAAATATTTATCTCATCTCCATGTTTTAATTAAATAAGGAAATGATTCTTTGTTTTAAGATCTATTTAATTGTTGAATTTGTTAGCTCTATTATCAGTAACATTCAGTATATTTCAAATATAGTTAAATGTTATTTTATTCGATAAAATCTATAGCTAATGATATGTTAAACGACTTTAAGTCATGATTACATTATTGTTTATTATCAGAAGGGGTTTGTAGAGATTTTAGAAGTTTCACAGATTGAATTCATGAGTCAATTGAAGCTAGACAACCGTGGAAAATCTGAAAGCACTGGACGGCCATTTCGTTCAATTGTGGGAAACCTCAGCAGTGCACATCTAGGATCTATTATTAACTTACATTTTGTTTATTTCACACCATAATCAGAAATTCACTTGGTGTTATTTAGGACTGCAATTGATCAGTCTCTTTTTGGCCTATATGTATCTTGTACGGATTGCCTCTATTTAGCCTTAAGTCACAAGCGTTTTAAGCAAAGATGGATAATGGCTAACAAGATTTTAATCGAGTTGTTCTCTGCGGTGGATGGTTTGATCGTGGAGATTGGATGTACCTTCAACTCAGAATTGATGTTCACTCTAGGAGTCAAACCCAGCGCCGTTCGCTTGAAACACTATCGCGTTATCCACTTAACTACTGACTCTTGATAGCTACTTGCTTGTTCAATGACGTGAAGTTTAAACATCAAGTCTGAGATTCAAGTACGTCTAGCTAACGAGTCCCAAATAGGAAGAAATACACATCTTGTATTCCACTACTAGCTACTATCCATCTTTGCTTAGAATAATGTACTCTTTGTTTTATGAACTCAGTCTTGCAAGAAAGATAGTGAAGTTCCTTCATCTAGCACTAAATAACTTCAACATTTCAAATCTGGAAAAACAAAAGTTATTTGTAAAGAAAATTTCAGTGAGACTATCATTTATGGACGACCTTTAAGCGACATTCATTTGACCTTCAGAGTATCCACCTGATAACTACAAACAAATGAGGGTTATATACCTGTATTAGGAATTCGAGTTATGATTTATAGTTGATGATTAAGGTTAGAAATAAGATTTAGAGCTTTCATCACAAAAAATTACATCATCTATGAATGCAAAAACTCTATTTATCCAAATGAATGAATTTTGCATCCAAACATCCGAGATCTGTTATCTTGTTGTTATATCCCAATGAGAATAATGAATGGTAGTTTTTTGGGATTTATTTATAGACCAATACTATCAGTATATTTTTTTTATCGTATAATTGTCATGTAACTCAACTGTTCATTTTCATGTCCCTCTCATTATGAGTTTTATTTTGACCTATGAACTATTATTAAACGATTTACTATTCTTTAGTTATACCCTATTAATCAATTACTATCTCCCACATTCACAGGCACTTTTGGCCAAATATTGTACAAATGTTTTTTTCTATTTTATGGTACGATATGGTCTGTTTGATTGGTATACAAACCCAGTATGTTTGAAATAAATGATTCATATTGCAGAGGCTGAGACTTGTGTTCTGGAATTAACTGGATGGGCTAGGCGCAAAGCAGGACCAATCAAAACTGTAGACTGCTCGCACGTGTTTTATGCATCATTGGTCCGATCAATAATTCACTGTTCTCTAATTGGCGGTATCGTTGCGTTATCCAACATACAGGGCATACAGGGCCACAAGCTATAACACACTTGTAACATAATTGATTCATTTATCAATTATAATCTCAATTCATTCCAATCAAATAACTTACATAGATTCATTTCGAATATAAGTTCTAAATGATTTACCAATATGATAAATATCATCGAATGATTTACATTTATATTTTAAGTATAATGTTGTAATATTCATTTTAGATTTGTCCATAAGATTTTCAAATGAATGAAATGAATTCATAATTGGATAATGAAAGTAAAACTTCTTCTTATATTCATTATTATCCCAATTATGATTATTACTACTATTATTAGTGTTATGAGTAGTATTATTAGTAGTATTAATGTGGTTTGTTTTATCCAATTTATTCAATTGTTCAATAGATAAAGTATGATTCAATTCATTTAATTTTTCAAAATGTTTTGTATATAAATCTAATGAATTTTGTTTTATATGAATAAAATTTTTTTTAATTTTTTGTGAAGAATTTAAATTTTCAAATAGTTTCTCATTGAATTGGTTGTCAAGACGATTATCGTTTATAGAGTTTTTTAAATTTCTTGTTTTTATGTTTATTAATTGTTTACCTGTTTCATGGGTCATTGTTCTATCATCATCCTCCTCCTCATCATCATTATCATCATCACCATCATCACCGTCGTCTTTCTTGTTCACTGATGTTTTATTCTGTGAATTAGTTAGTAAAGTGCATCGCTCATTGATTATTTCATGAGATTTATTACTAATATCATCATCGGAATGATCTTCGAAATCTGTATTCTTATCAGTAGTGACAGTGATTGCTGGAATCAGTTCTAAAGATGACTAAAATAAACAAAACAAGAATGAAATTACAAATGAAGTAAGGTAAGGATTTTAAATAAGTGAGTTTTGTCTGTTTTATTTTTCCTATTTATATACAATGAGTTGAATAATAATCAACTATATTGTGTTTAAATATATTGATATATCTATAATATTCCATGGCAAACAAAATGCGTTGATTATCGCTATAGGGTTGTGGAGATTATTAAGTTTTTGATTTAGATTATGAACCGATTGAAGCTAGACTACCAAGAAAAACATGGAAGAACTGGACGGCCATCTCGTCCTATTGTGGGACACCTCAGCAGTGCGCATCCTTGATCCCGATCGCAGGATTCCAACCCAGGGCTTTCATTCTTGAGCGCAGACGCCCAACCTACTGGACCACTGAGCCGGTCGGCACCCAATGGTGTTAGTGTCTAACATCAACCAATCGCGCTCGCGGAATTGTGGATGCGCACTGTTGAGGAGTCCGACAATAGGACGAGTTGGTCATCCAGTGATTTCAGGTATCCAACAGTGGTCTAACATCATTTGGTTCATGGTCTCAATCAAAAATATGTTGAAACAGATTTTTATTCTTCTTGGAATATTTCACAGCCTGACATTATTATGAAACGATACCTATTAGATAACCGGTATTATTTCAGTTTCAACGTTTAAAGTGTATAAAATATCAGTTGAAACTGGTGGACGAAATGAAAGTCAGAAACATAACAACAGGAGAAGCTAAGCATTTCTACTACACCTCATCCTTATTAACTGGAAGAAGATCAGATGTATATTCCACAAGCAGTCAGAAGTTCGACCGAACAACCATAAAACTCATGAGTACATAAACAGTACAAAAATGTTCTTGGTAAATCTCATGAAATAGCGTATTAAAGGAGAGAACAAACCAATGAAATTTAAGGTGTTCTTCTAAGTGAGTAAGGTAAATGCGAGTGCTTTTGACGCGAAAATGAGAAATTCGTTTGTTCAAAATAAACTTATATAAATAAGACGTTTACTAAGTGATTTCTGGGGATCTAGCATCCCCAGCCTTCTGTTGTACCAGTGTCATTACATATAGAAGTAAAGTCATGTTATTGTAACTGATAGAAATCTGTAAATATAATATCCATCGAAACACTTGTGAGTTCTAATGTGTACTCAACAAAATATATTTCACTATAGTCATAATGTTACTACCATCCATCATAACGATACCAGCAATAATGTTTCCAAAAATTCTTTAAAGTAGCTATAAAATCATGTCTATAATATTATATATACCGACTATGACGTCGTGTAAGTTGAAAAGACAGACATACAACTGATTGTAAAATTCCAGGATAAATATTTCTAAATCTTCAGAAAATAGAACAAAGGTAGAGTGTAGTAAGATGATAAGATTATATTCCATAGAAGATATAAAATTGTTTAAGACAAAACTAAAATTCAACATAACTCTACCCTGAAGCCCATCTGAGCTCTATAACGTTTATTGAAAGTATTTTTATTATTTTAGAACCTGAGTAGACGCTTTACATGATCATTTCAAAATTATGATGTTACTAATGATGTTTTGAATGAAAGAAACACAACTCTTAATCAGTTTGTGAATTGATTAAGTAGTTCATGACTTTTCCTATATTATTCAAGTAAATTGTTCAGATCTAAATGATTTAAACATTTAGATAGCTTTTAAGTAAACTGTTTTTCCATAGCTCAAAAGTAAATGATGTCATATGGAAACTGATTACATGTGTGTTGTATATGATATTTCCAGTTGACTAGTGGTATTCGGTTTTCGAAATGGGTGTTATCAGGTTATTTGCAGATCAATGATCATTAAAAAAAGTTAGGAAAGGAACTCCCTCCCCTGAAAAAAAGAGAATAATAAACCTATGACGAAAATGCCGATATCAAATAGAGACAAGTAGGAACCTACCACGATTTAATGTATGTAATTATCTTACATGGTATTTAGGAATTAAAAGTAGTTTAAAATTAGACGTAAATAATAGTTTGATTTAATGCTTACAATGTTCTTGAATGAATAAACTACACAGGTAATTCACAGTTATATTTCAAAGATTTAGTAGTAATGACAATCATATAATAACTATAGTAATATTCATTGATTTAATGGTCAATATATATTCAGTTTGTATATGTAGTTTTATTGTTCTCATAGATCAATTCCTTTCTCACAGAACTCCTAATAAAAATTGAATAAAATAACCCCTATACTGATAATTAACATGTATTTACTAGTGACTAGCTTCGTGAAGGAATTCCCGAAATTCTAGTGAGAAGCCATGAGCAGTGAAGCTAAACCGTATCCGGTAGAGACAGGTATCTACCTAAGTGCAATGGAAAATGGTCGAGAAATTTCGTGGATTGGTTGATGTTAGATGTTAGCTCAGTTGTTAAGTAGGTTAAGCGTTCGCGCGCAAGACTGAAGGCCCTGGGTGTGAATCCCGCGAGCGGGATCGTGGATGGGCACTGCCGAGGAGTCTCACAATAAGACGAGTTGGCCATCCAGTGCTTCCAGGTTTTTAACGGTGGTTTAACATCAATCGGTTCATGATCTCAATCAAAAACTTAATGATCACCACAACACTTATGCTAATGTATGCGATTATTGGTCTATTTATGAATGTTCACGAAAACTTGATAAACATAAAAATTGGGTAATAAACAAAAATAATAGTAGATATATTATTGGAAATACTTCACTATGTACAATTATACCTAAGTCTAATGCCCATTCCATTTACTATATTTCGGTAATTTCAATAATTCCACGACATTTCAAAACTGTTATGAAAATTCTCTATTCACACTGATCGCATCTTCACAATCTACTCAACAAAATATTAACCATACTTTAAGAAAAATTATAAAATTTCCACCAAGTAGTCATATGTAATGATAGAATGCAGTCATATCATGAATAGGTTAGTAATCTAATAATTGAACTCATGCGTCAGTTGAAGCTAGACTACCATGAAAAACCTGGGAGCATTGGATAGGCGTTTCATCCTAATATGGGACTCCTCAGTATTGTGCATCCACGATCCTGCCTTGTAAGATTAGAACCTAAGATCTATCAGTCCTGGTTGAATTTAAACATTAACACCGCTCGATGCCGGCCGGTTCAGTGGCCCTTGGTTTGAATACGTACTGGTGAGGAGTCCCACAGTAGAGCAAAACGGCCGAGCAATGCTTCCAGGTGTTCCTTGGTGGCCTAGCTTCAATCGACTCATGAATTCAATTATTAAATAGGATAATTATTATCAATATAAACATAAATTAATGAATAAAGAACTCACAGTTGGATCGAATCCAGCTCTTAAATTAAATGATAATTCTTCTGAAATTGCTAAAGCAAATTGTTTACGAAATTGTGGATATTGATTAAATATTTCTTGTAATTGATGATCTAATGCTATACATTGTAATTCACAATATGTTAATGATTTAACATTATAAGCTGAATATCCCAATATAGGCAAATCATCCATATCACTACCAAATATATCACATTTACCTAAGATTATAATAATGACAAAAATGAAAAAAAAAGAAGAAAGAAGGAATAAGAAATTAAGTTTCATACTCATAGGTCTCCTTATTATCCTAAATGAAGCAAGAACGAAGATTGGTGCATAATAATGAATGGATTCATTTTATTTCGTCAGGTTTTCATCAACTGCTGGAAGAAAGTTAGGGGCGGCCAGACCAAAACATGGCTCAAGTCCATGAAGTCACTGACAAGTGAACTGAGTCATGTCGGTAGGTGTAGACTACCTGGTTGGGGACCGCGAGATGATAGCAACCGATGGTTAGAGATCTTGAATGACATGGCTCAAAATCGTTTGCAATGGCGCAGGTGCATCCACTCTTTGTGTTCTCCCAAATTTTGATCTCCTGATCCTCCCTTGTCTCTTTTTTTTCTCTTCCCAAGTTTATTTCACTGTATTCTACTCTTTAAGTAACATCTCCAAATACTAATCTTTCCGATTACTGCTTATACTCTTATTACCTCTACCACTACGGGATTTGAATCGACCACTGCATCTCTGTGCTAATGTGGTGTGGCAACTCGAACTGATGTACGTACGTACGAAGTTCTACGTTGTTACTGACTGACTGACTGACAACTGCCTGCAACCTAAAATATTTGAAAATCAACGTTATTACAATTATTGACATACTGATTCATAAAAGAGGGTGATTAATGATAAATACATGTGTATCATGATGTAGCGAAGATTGACATAGGGTTAATGAGGTCATAAAAAATCGTTTGTTTCAAATAAATAAAGTTTGGGATGGAAAGTTCCAGAACATTGAAATAGTGATTAGAACTCATGGAATTAAATAAACACATTAGATGATTATGTAATGAAGTAACTGAAAATAGATTAATGGTACATGTATCTGCCAAATAAGTTACACTGGTAGAACAGAAAAGAGAGCCTAGGTTCGATTCAAAGAATATATTCCGAAGAGTTTAAGATGAAACAGACTAAAAACATTCAGCAGTGCCATCGCAAGACATCTCCTTGACATAGGTTATGAATTCGATACATAGAAGTCCATCAAGGGGATTCACAAACAATTAAACTCAAACCTTTTGAAATTTGACGAAGCGATAGCAATCAAGCGTCTAAAATCAGATCCATGTATAAAAAAAGAGACAGTATTAAACCTTTCTTTGCCCTGATAACAATACCCCCACTTTTTATTTATTTATTTAATACGTCATTCATTATTCCAAATCTTTCTGGATTCTAAAATTACACAACTGACTGATTTCAATTCATATCTTTCTTCATCATCAATAATCTATTTTCCTTTACTTCATTACTTCATTTCGATTTCATGAGTTCTGATCACTATTTCAATGTTCTGGAACCTTCCCTCCTAAACTCTTTATATTCGAAGCAAAACATTTTATGACCTCATTACCACTATCGCAATCTTCGCTACATCATGGTACACATGTATTTATCCTTCATCACCCTCTTTTATGTGTAACTATGTCAATATCTGTAGTAACGTTGATTTTCAAATATTTTAGGTTGTAAGCAACTGATGAGAACTTGACGAAATAAAATGAATCCATTTATTATTATGCACCATTTTTCGTTCTTACTCTCTTTAAGAAATGAAGTGTCCTAGTTGTGTTATTTATTTTCACTATGATCAATCACGAAGCATTTGGATCATTGAAGCTTTTTAAATATCTATCTTATTTAATTAAGAGAATGAAAATGAATGTTATTTAAAAGCTCTATGCCTGTTTATTGAATATATCCAAGATATTAAATAAATGCCAAGAAAATAATCTAAGTGATTTATTGTATTTATTTATTTATTTTATTTTAACACATATTGGTACAAGGAGGCACCAAATACATATGCACCACATTAATCTCATTCGATATGTGTGAGGGCTGCGTACTACCCGGGTGCCGAAACCGATGCAGATGGTTTTCTTAGGGGACCACACCCCGAGCCTTCGACCTGAAGGTCTGATCCGCAAGGCAGTGGAGCATCATAAGGAGATGCAGTCACATGGTAGTCGGTGATCAACAATTGGTTCATACTCCGTTTGTTCCAGCAGGATACTGGAGCCCATGTGCACCATTGCTTTGAAATTCGGTTAAAACGCCGAACATTTGCTTTTCGTCCTCTCATTTTCGTTAACAACACCCGTGTTGCGAGAAGGCAGTGAGTAGGACTTCCCTGTCAGAGACTAAATACGCGTGGCCATGTGAGAGCATTTGGAGAGGGAGGGTGGGCCCACCCCACGCTCGGCCATACCAGGGCATTTGGGGGCGATTTATTGTATTCCGATTAATTTACCTTATATTTTATGTATGTATCATTAACATATGACCAAAGTAGTTAGTATCTACTTTAATCCATTAGAAATGGGTAATAAGCACTTTACTTAATTTAGCCAATAATAAAGAAACCTTAGAACAGGTTACAAATAATTCAATATCTCTCCCCTTGCTTTTAGTTAGTTTTTCTCTAGTTTTGTTTTTTCTTACACAATTGGTACATTTCTACATTCATTCATATGTCACTGAATAGAAAGATTTATCAATCCTCATAATAGATATTATATAATCGTTTAGTTCAATACATGCTTGTAACGCTTTATCCATTTATCTCTGACTACTTTTCAATAGTAGTCACTCTATTCATTGCATCGTTCATTGATTTCACTATTGATTATCACAAGCACACTTTTGAATTTGTAACATCAACATCTAACAAATGAACATATGACTGGTACTGTGGTGTGTGCTACTGATATATATATATAAGTAGTATGTATCATTAGTCGAAAGTGAAATATCTGGTGTCAGAAGGTTAAGAAGATCGAAGGGAAGAGAATGAGAACAGAGAATGATTGATGTGAAAATGAAAACCCTGATTCCAAACTAATGGTGCACATGGGCTCCAGGATTCTAAGGGAATAAAAGGCGTATGAACCTGTTGTAACCACCGGCTACCATAGGACTATATCTCCTAAGGTTGTTCCACTGCTTCGTGGATTGGACCTCTAGATCAAAGGCTAGGAATGTGGCCGCCTAAGAAAACTACCTGCTTCAGTTTGGATACCTTGGGAGCATCATAGCCCTCATACAAATCAATGATAACTGCTGCTGGCCTCATTGTTATTGTTTGGCGTATATGTATTTGGTGCCCCCTTGTGCCGATGTTTATTTGTTCAAATAAACAAACAAATAAAGACATTTTGACCTAGTCAATTATTTGCTCATTGACCCTGTCTTTATATGATTGTATTTGTGTTAATTACTAACACTATTCATCATGTGTCTGCAATTTTTTTGGAATTTAAATATTGAGTGACGCTTTATCTAATGGAGTTGACTCATTCGCCTTATCCACTGCGTGTCATTTTGTTTCACTTCGTCCCCCTGATCGTCTGTCCTGAACAACGATTGTATGAAATATACGTATTCGATTCCGTTCTCTTCTTTGACTTATTTATTCTTATTATTTACTGATGAGATTTAAGTCCATGGTTATATACAAGGGTACCCGGGATGTAAATTTCAATAGCAATCATCATATGAAATACCTGGAGTCAGATGCCGGACCACTAACATATCTAAATTTAGGATTTCTACTTTCTTAAAATCTAAATTTACCATTGTAACTAATGGTGATATCTTCAAAAACTTCACACATATACATGTGTATATATCAAGGATTACTGCATAAAAGAATGTTCAAGATTTGATAATGAGACTGTGTATAACCCACACTCAAAGCATGTATACTGTATGGTGTTAAAACAATCACTGGTATAAGTGACAGTTAACCATAATCTTAGAAACTCATCATGGTTTGAGAAAAGAACAGGAATATAAATGATTAAACTTAGGTGTAATGAACGAAGTATAAGATGACAACTTATTAGACAAAAGTTTGAATTCTACTAGTCTTATTTTGAAGTTATATTTTACGGATGATTACAAAACCATAGACTAGGAAATATATAAAGCAAAGAAAATGCAGCATATTTACAATTGAAGAACATCTGCAACTCAAAACAACTGTCTGCCAACCAACACCAAAGTCACAATTTTCAATTCAAATGTCAACACAGTTCTACTGTATCGGGCGGAAACTTGGAGAATTAGCAAAACAATCACCCAGAAGATATAAGTGTTTATCAACAGTTGTCTACGCAAAATACTTTAGATCCGTTGGCCGGACACTATCAGTAACAACCTACTGTGGAAGAGAACAAAACTGATTCGAGGGGAGCAAGAAATGAGGAAGAAGCGCTAAAAATCGATAAGACAAACATCGCAGAAGTCACGCAATCGCGTCACAAGGCTAGCCCTCACATGGAATCTCCAAGGCCAAAGGAGAAGAGGAATACCAACCAACACATTACATCGAGAAATGTAGACAGACATGAGAAAAATGAACAAGAATTGGATAGAGTGTGTTGGAGAATGATTGTCAGTGACCTATGCTCCATTACGAGTAACAGGCGTAAGTATGTGAGGAAGGTAAAAAAAGTATAAATGGTGTATAATTTTGAGAAATTCCAAATTTAACTTCTAGTAACTGTATAAATTAAGTGAAGAAAAGTTTTATATTTTCAGAAGATAGAGATAAGAAATTTTCGACTTATTTTCAGTTTTATTGAATCGTAGCTACGAAAGTGAATTTAAAGATTTCTCGAAATGTATACTACTTGTAAGTAGATGAATATTACTGACAAAAATGAATTAGTAACATAAGGGATATTTTGTGGATATTATAATCGTTTTAATAGTTGAGAACATGAGTCAATTGAAGCCATACTACTATGGGAAGCCTGGAAGTATCGCACGACCGTTTCGTCTAGAAATCTAGAGGTTAAGCGTTCACACGCAAGATCGATAGATTCTGGGTTCGAATCTCACGAGGAGTGATTGTCTATGCTCACTGCTAAGGAGTCCCCCACAATTGGACGAAGATAGCCGTTCAATGCTTCCATGTTTTCCATGGTAGTCTAGCTTCAATTGACTAACGATCTCAACTATTAAAAATGAATTAGGTTGATTCAATGGACTCAGATTTAGTAAAGTAATAATATGAATAGAGGATATTCTTGAATAATCCTTTAAGTTATATCAAAAATAACCTGTCATAAACTGTCTTAATGAACATAATAGTAATTTTGTTTTTTATCTATGTTAGACAGCCGCAAAACAATTTTCTACAATAATGCAGAAAATGATTTATTTTTGAATAAAATTTCATACAACTAAAGTTACATGTTAACGTGTTAACTAAAAGAATAATTTAAGTAGTATAGTAATATTCTTTAAAAATATTCCCACCAAATGTTTAAGGCAGCTTGAATTTCAAAAATAAAGTTATGTAATGAAGTGAAATTAAATTAGACGGTATGTCTATGAACAAGTGACAAAAGTATAGAATATTTTAATAAACTATGAGAACTATACAATAAATAATTCATGTGCAAATTTCCATCATTTACCCTTCACATTCGGTATAATTTTCCCAAATCATGATCTTCAATTCGATCTTCTTAGCCTTCTGCTGCTAGGTTTTTCAGTTCTGATTAGTGTTACATGCTACTTGTCACTGTCCACTTAAGTAGCCTACACCATATTACATACTAATTTACTCCTGTTAACCCCCAATGGAGCATAGGTCACGACAAGCATTCTCTAACACAATGTCCAGGGCTTCCTTTGTACTTCTATCCAATTCTTGTTCATTTTTCCCATGTTTGTCTACATTTCTCGGTGTAATGTTTCTGTAGTCTTCCTCTTCTTCTTTGGCATTGAAGATTCCAAGTGAAAGCTTGCCCTGTGACGCGATTAGGCGCTTTCCTCAATGTGTGTATTATCCACTCCCAGTACTTCTTACTCATTTCTTCCTCCACTGGGATCTGGTATGTTCTCTCCCACAGTGGGTTCTCGCTGATAGTATCTGTCCGACGGATCAGAATTGTTTTGCGTAGACAACTGTTAATAAACACTTGTATCTTCTGGATGATGGCTTTCGTAGTTCTTGAGGTTTCCGCCCCACACAGTAGGACTGTCTTGACATTTGTAATGGAAATTCTGACCTTGATATTTGTTGACAATTATTTCGAGTTCCAGATATTCTTCAGTTGTAGATATGCTGCTCTTGCTTTGCCGATCCGTGCCTTCACATCTGCATCAGATCCACCGTGTTCATCAATGATGCTGCCGAGATATGTAAATGTTTTTACATCTTCCAAAGCTTCTCCGTCAAATGTGTTTTAATTGGTGCGAGTTGTGTTGTATTGAAGAATCTTAACTTTCCCTTTGTTAACGTTGAGACCTACTACTGACGAGGTTGCTGTTGCTACACTGGTCGTCTTCTCGTGTATTTGTTGTTGCGTGTGCGATAAAAGAGTCAGATCATCTAGATTGTCCAGCTGCATCCTAGATATCCACTGTATACCATGCTTCCCCCAGTTGTTGACAACTTCATGACAAAAGAATCTGAATATTTCTCGATTGCCGTCTAATATCATTAAATCATTTACAGTGGTTACAAAATAGTGTAGAACAGTTAATTTTCTTTAATTCACTATTAAAGAACGGATGTTCTTTAAAATCAGTCATGTTTTTGATCGGGTGTTTGTATTTGTTGAAGTATTCTCAAACTAGATAGAAACAAATTCTCAGTACCATTTAAATTGTAGTGATGATGGAAAGTGTTCGGAAAATTGAATTTTATGGCGGTATACTTCACTGGTTGTATTGATATTGTGTCATAGGTCTTCACGCTAGGAAATGTGACTAGTTTGCTCAGAAAAAAATACATTTAACATTGTTGAATTTGAATATCATTTCGATACATTAACTGTGATTTATGATTTGACGCTATTTAGTTTTGAAGCATGGTAATGTTTATTTAATCTAAAAAGAATCATATCATTATTCAGTATAAACTGTAGAATCATCCAAAGCTTGAAGTTGACCTATGAGCTGTCAGCATGTTCACAGTTCAGTCAGAAAAACACTAGGAGTAGAGTAGATCTTAAGTTCTGTTTAAACCCATATATAAAGTTAATAGGTAATTCGTCTATTTTCTTAGCTCACTGAGATAGCATTAAATGTCAAGACTTTACTGTTATGTACATATAAATAAATATATATCTATCTGCTCTGAAGTAGTCGCTTACATTAAGTTACGAAACATCAATAATGTAAGTTTACATGTTTCATTAAAATTCTTTTTTTGAAAAAAAACAAACTTACCCAACAATCCAACAACTGTACCTTCTTCACCAAGTATTTCTAAAGAACCACTACAGACAAAATAGATAAATTGTAATGCATCACCTTGATTAACAAGATATTCACCAGGTGTAGCAAAACGTGTTGTTATTAATTGAGCTAAACATTTACGACAACCAGGACTGGCACTTTTGAATAAACTTAATGATAATATTTCACGATTTAAATGTAATGCAATATCACCGCGTAAATTTTCCGGGAATGATTGTAATATCTATATTGTCAAATGATTGGGGGAGAGAAAAAACGATGACTTATAGTTAATCATTGAAAATAATAGTATATTTGTGATAACCCGATGAGTAGAAATTTTTCATGATTTAATGTCCACTGCTTCTACAGTGAGTAATTGTTTGAGGGGACATTTTATTCACTGAATGACTACAGTTGGGTTTGCATTAGAAATCTTTGTGTAACTAGGCAGTTGTTTGCTCTTAGTTTTTGACATCCCAGAAGTATGAATCCACAGCTTAACATAAGATCAAACGGAGAGCTTTGAAGTGTCGCAGAAAACATTAGAACAAGACTAATATTCAATGGAATCTGAACTACCCTGATTATATTATATGCACTGAATTATCTGTGTTTTATTCAGTCTAAAATCTTGAATGCTCAATTCTGAAGCAATCCATACCAGGGCTAAACAGATATATATATAGGGAAATTCCTAATCTAATTAAATGTCTATAAACGAATTCTCTATGTATATATTGTGATAATTCCAAAATATAAGATGAAAGATATTCGATCTTAACAGTTAAAAATAAGTTAACTGACTTCATCATTAATTTGGTTTATTTCTCTATAGCCTCAGCTTGTTAAGCTATAGATAAACGGATCGGTGAGAATATAATTTATGGACGACCTTTGAACGATACACAAGTAACCTTGTGAGTATTCACCTAAAAACTAGAACAAAATGAGGGTTATAAACCAGTGTGAAGAATAAGATCTGTGATTTACAGTTGATGATTTGTGTTAGGAATTAGATTTACGTTTTTCATCACGAACTGACATTAGCTATAATGCCAAAACTTTATTTCATCAAATGGATGAGTGAATTTAGCAACGAAATTCGAGACCTGTCTTCTTATACCTGAATGGTTCGTTCATAAATGATAGTTTCGTCACAAATGTTTTGCATTCATTGGATTAAACATAATAAATCTGTTCAAGTCACTAAATCCAGTTGAAATAAATATTACTATTCAATATTATTATTATTACAATCTAAACAGTTGAGATCATGAGTCATTTGAAGCTAGACCACCATGGAAGCACTGGACGGCCGTTTCGTCCTATTGTAGGACTCCTCAGCAGTGCGCATCCACGATCCCGCACGCGGAATTCGAACCCGGGACCAATCGGTCTCGTGCCAGGCGCTTAGCCAACTAGACCACTGAGACAGCATCTGACGGTGTTAATGTCTAGCTTCAACTAATCCACGAAGTTGAGTGACACATCCACCATTGTCATCAGTGAGTTACTACCTCACAACTGACTCGCTTGAACTCCACTAGTGGATGCGCACTGCTGAGGAATCCCACAATAGAACAAAACGGCCGTCAAGTGCTTCCAGGTTTCCCATGGTAGTCTAGCTTCAATTGACTCATGATCTCAACTGTTTAAATTACTATAATCTCCACAATACGTCTACTGATATTATTATTGTTTTGATTAAACTTACAGCTTCTTTATCTATACCACGATTAATTGCCCACATAGCTTGAAAAAATTCAAGCATACGTTGTTTTAAAGGTTTCGGTATATGATGAGCACGTGTAAAATCTTTTAAATCTTGATTCTTTGTTTGATATGCTGAACGTCTTGAATACATACGTTGAATAAGTGTTGTCACATTACCGAATACTGCTGCATGCATAAGAGCTGATAAAATTAATTTAAAAAAAACAAAATTGTTAAATAAAAATTTGTGGGAAATTATTAGTTTAAATATAGTTAGAAAGAGAATTTGTGAAGAGTGGTTCAATGAATTGTAGTTAATTATTTACTGACTCCTGGCAACCCTCATGGAGGAGCATAGATCGACCACCGGCATTCCATATTTAACTCTGCCTTGAATAATCCTTTCTAGTTAGTTCCAGTTGCCATTCATCATTTTCATGTCTACTTTCAATCCTATGGTCTTCCGCTTTTTCGTTAACCTTCAGGATCCCAAGTTAGAACTTGCCTCATGATGCAGTTTGGTGATTTTCTCAATGTATATCTTATCCACTTTCATCAATTTTTCCTAATTACCTCTTCAGTTGGAAGTTGGTTTGTTCTCTCCTACAGTAGGTTGCTTCTAATGGTACCCGATCAATGGATATTGAGTATCTTGTATAGACAACTGATTATAAATACCTGTACTTTATTGACGATGGTTGTAGCTCTTCTAGGGTTACTACCGATGCAAAGCCCATGTAATGGAGGAGGGTTGGACATGGTATCAGAAATCTCATCTCATATGTTATGACCTTGAATCGCTTTTACCCCGTTGATACTTGTTATGACTTGACCTTGATCTGTCTAGTCTAAATTACGACCTTGACGCGATAGGCTGAGCGGCTTAACCTTGAGTCTAGTACGCGTGAGATCGAGATGGGGTAGAGAGAAAGAAGTATTCTAGAACCTGATTGGTTGGCAAGCACGCAAGCGAGAGAAGACAAGACAGTTGGAACACCGAACTCTGGATTCTGTGAATTCTGTGAATTCAAATTAGTACAAAAATGTACATGTATAAATAAGTGAATATCTTGACCACGACGTACAATAATTTGGAAAAATACAGTTATGCCGGAAACTGGGAATTAGGGTAGAAAATACGGTGCAAAATATTATATTTAAATTACAATATTTTCGGAACCAAAAAGAGTATGCTAGTGAATGATACATAGAACGAAAGCTCGTGTTATGTAGAATAAGATAGGGACAAAAATAAATATAAGTGTTTTACAGGGTTTGAATGAATTGAATTAACGTCCCAAGAAAATAACTTTCGTAGTTGTCTGGGCTTCTTAATTCCCAGTTCACAACATCATAGTAAACAATCTTGCTAAAAAAACGCTAACCAGAATAGATGAATAGTAGTAGCACCCAACTGCGTCACTAGACAAGCCCTCACGCCGAGAAATGGAAATAGACATGAAAAAGATGAACAAGAATTGGATGGAATTAGAAAAAGAAGCCCAGGACAGAATGGGTTGGAGAATGCTGGTCGGCGGCCTATACTCCATTGGGAGTAACAGGCGTAAGTAAGTAAGAAATATTTATTGTTTTTCTCTACAGTTTTTCATATTGACATGAGATACATTTCTTTGAAGATTATCAATACAAAATTATTAAACAATGGCTTTGGAGTTTTCTTTATCGATTTTGCTGACAATTCTAGTATAAAGTGATAAATCTTAAGCGATCGTTTATATAAAAGTAAGTGATAATTGGACTGGAAAGTATAAGGTTTATCTGTTACATGGATTATCAAGTGAAAAGTTTGGTATAAAATTACCAATCAACTTAAAAGCACTGAACTGAAGTTTTGTCTCAGTACGGAACAACTCAGCAGTGTTTATCCATGATCACACACGCTGGATTCGGATTCAGGATCTTCAGTCTCGTGCACGAACGCCTTACTCTAGACCATTAGGCTAACATCCAACGGTGTTAATATATAACTTCAACCAGACTGTTTTTACGGTTTGTTGTAATCACTAGAGTAATTGTTTCAAATCCCTAGAATTGAGCATTACTGCAATTTTCATGACTGTCAAAAATTCGTTACGTAAACACAGAAAAGCACACTCATTTACAAAATGATTTTACATACACTTAATGATTAGTTAATAGAGATCATATTATAGAGGAAATACAGAAACTTTCTACGATAACGCATGTTGTTAAGATTACCAAACAAAGTTTCAGGTGATTTAACACAAACTTTATTATGTTGAATTGTAGGATGCTGGTCGGCGGCCTATGCTCCATTGGGAGTAAAAGGCATAAGTAAAGTAAGTAAGTAAGTATTATGTTGAGTAAACATTAGACATCAAAGTTATACAAAACATTACTCTGAATAATCGTAATACTAAATTGAAAACGAATGTTATATTTAACAAAAATCATCTCTTAATAATTATTAGTTAAGGAATTTATATTTGTGATCCATATATTGGATTTGTAACTCCTCCTGGAGCCCCTTCGATGGCTACTGCCTGTCACAAGCCCGGACAAAGGAGGAGGGTTAGGCATGGGTTTAGCGGACCCATCTCGTAGAAAATTAACTTGCTAAAAAATACTAACTAGGAAAAAATTTATATTGGATTTGTTCTGATTAAAGATATTGTTATATCCGGATGAAGAATAAGTGAATAGTAACCATTAGGATCTATCTATGAACTATTATTATATATATTCTTAACGATTAAATTCACCTGGTGTTTAGTTGTATCTTCCTATTGTTACTTAGGAATGCAATCGATCAGTCACTTGTTGGAATATGTACATCGTGTGCAGATTGCCTCGATATTACCTAAGATTACAAGCTTTATAAGCAAAGATGGATAGTGACTAGCAGTGAAATACAGGACGCGTGTTTCGTTCTATTTAGAACTATGCAATTGGATGTACTTGCATCTCACAGTTGATGTTCACTCCGGGACTCGAACCCAGTACCGTTCACTTCAAACGCCATTACGTTACCCACTTAGCTACTAAGTCCTGATAGCCAGCTATTGAATAACCTTGTGGCTGCTAGTTTACGTGCGAGACTTAAAGAAACAGAATAAAGCATCACTTATTTTTTCTTTGTTGTTGATTACTCTATCTTAAATAACAATGGGAAAATACAAGTAAACAATACCCGTGTTAATATAACTTCAACCCATTACACAAGCAATTGGCTATTATGACTCAGTAGCTAAGTGGAAAACGTGATGGCGTTTGAAACGAACGGTACTGGATTCAAGTACCATAGTGAATATCAAATCTGCTATGAAGGTACATCTAGCTGACAAGCCCCGAATAGGACGAAACGCGTATCCATCTTTATTAAGTAATCATATTATACGTATGTTTATATTCGTTTTATTATAACCTTCTATTTGACCAATCGACCATTATTGTACGATTTACAATTCTTAAGATATTCCCAATTTATCAGTTACAGTCTTCTACAATCACAACCACTTTTTGACTTGATCTTGTACAAGTGTTTTATTGTTTATTTTATGGAATGATATGGTCTGGTTTGTTTGTATATAAAACCAGAGTGTCTGAAATATATGATTCGTATAACGGAGGTATTGGTATTCTGAACTAAACCGGTTGAATTAGGCGATAAGCTACCACCTCGAAGAACTCAAAGATGAGTTGGGACTATTCGTACTGGTTTGTGTGTCATTGATCTGGTCATATAAATCAGTGTGTTAATTGACGATCTTATCATTTGATAATTAATAGGCCATAAGAACATAACAAATATAACATTTTACTAAAGTTCCATCTAAAAAAAGTCATATCTTAAGTGGTTAGAATTAATCGACAGGAAACGTTTTCGATTAACTTCAACCATCTAACATCTCAACTCAATGATCAATCTATTAGAAAAAAAGAAAGGTATATTTAGTGTTTAGTGTCACATTCTCTAAGAATCATTGAAATGAAGTTTTACGATTTAGTTAAGTAGGTACTTATAATTCATGAAATCTTAATAGATTTTCCTTTTTTTTGAAGAGCTAGACACAAATATTAAAAGGAAATCTGAATTCTTTGCAATATATATATTAATGATAATCTCTAATGAACATACATGTTAGATTTAAAGAGGAAATAGATTGTAATTGATAAAGAACTGTTGAGAATTAGGTAAAGTTATTCGATTGAGATCATAAACCGATTGATGTTAGACTACCATTGAAAAAACACCTGAAAGCCTATACTGATAATTAACATGTGCTCACTAGTGACTAGTTTCGTGAGAAAATTCTCGGAGTTCTGGTGAGAAGCCGTGATCAGTGGAGCTAATACGTGTCGGGTAGAGACAGGTATCTAGCTCAGTACAATGGAAGATGGTCGAGCAATTTCGTGGATTGGTTGATGGTAGATACTAACACCATTAGATGCTGAATCAGTGGTCCAGTAGGTTGTTGTATTATAACAATTTAAATGTTCGTTGTTGAATTCAATTGATTTCGACGTCAGTCATTCAGTTGGTCAGTTACAACGTAGAACTTCGTATGTACGTATATCAGTTAAAGTTGCCATACCACAATAGCAAATAGACTCAAATCCCATAGTAGTAGAGGTAGTAAAAGTATAAACAGTATTCGGAAAGATCAGGGTTTAAAGACGTTATTAATGGAGCATAATCCAGTGAAATAAATTTGGAAATAGAAAAAGAAGGAACATGAAGAATTCAGAAGATCAGAATTTGGGAGAGCACAAAGAATGGATGCACCTGCGCCATTACAAACGATTTAGAGCCATATCATTCAAGGTCTCTGACCATTGGTTGTTATAGTCTCGCGGATCACAATCAGGTAGTCTACACCTACTAACATGGCTCAGTCCACTTGTCAGTGAATTCATGGATTTGTACCATGTTTTAGTCTGGCCACCCTTAGCTTTCTTCCAACCTACTTCTACACCATAAAACATCGCACGTCATGGCAGTCGGTGATTGGGCATACGTAACACATGTTCCAGCCAACTCAACTGATGAAGTTTCATTACTTCGTCAATTGGTTTGCCATCCTTACCTAGTACCCGTTTCCTAATAACTGCATTATTTACTCGGTTGTCCCAGGGTATACGATCAATGCTTCGACGAATGATGATGAAATATACTTCTTGAGTTAACTTCATGTATTTTCATAGACTTAATCACTAAATGTATAACGGAATAAAATAGGTTAAATACAAGGATGATTTTGTATACATATATTTTGTGTATTCATTAATACGAACAGACAATGAGAACACAAGCTGGACTATACAGTGAATAACGGATGACTAAGTCTTTATGTAAAAATGAATAATACATAAATTACTGATGGTCAATTAAAGTACAAATGATAGATGTACACAAGACAGACATACATAAAACTAGCATGTTTACAAACGATAAAGTACATAGGAGGGTCATAAGGCACCTAATTCAGTTAGAATGAAACATTTAATGGCTGGATAAAAATAGACTACCTAGAAGTGGTATAACAGTTGACATGTTTAGTTTCCCGAAAATACCAGAATTTAACGGTAAAATGACTGTATTCAAAGATAAATTAAACATGAAAGCTACACCGTTTTCAAATTCATTTCATATTTAGTAATGATTATCACATATTTGGGCGGCATCATTCATGAACACGGTGCATCTGATGCAGATATGAAGGCGCTGATCGGTAAAGCAAGAGCAACATATTTACAACTGAAGAACATCTGGAACTCAATACAACTGTGAACCAACAACAAAGTTAGAATCCTAAATACAAATGTCAAAACAGTTCTACTGTATGAGGCGGAAACTTGGAGAACGACGAAAGTAATCATTCAGAAGATACAAGTATTTATCAACAGTTGTCCATACAAAATACTTCGGATCCGTTTGCCGGACACTATTAGCAACAACCAACTGTGGTAAAGAACAAACCAGATCCCCGTGGAGGAAGAAATCAGGGAGAAGCGCTGGATGTGGATTGGACACACATTGAGGGAAGCACTCAACTGTGTCACGAGACAAGCCCTCACTTGGAATTCTCAAGGTCAAAGGAAAAGAGGAGGACCAAAGAACACATTACACCGGGAAATGGAGATGGACATGAGAAAAATGAACAAGAATTGGGTGGAATTAGAAACGAAGGCCCAGGGCAGAATGGGTTAGAGAATGCTGGTGAGCGTCCTATGCTCCTTCACGAGGAGTAACAGGCGTAAGTAAATTAGATTGTAAAACAGTTCTATTTTGATATAAAGTTTTAATTTTAAATGTTCAGAGGTAGTTGGTAGGATATCCTAGACTGGAATTCGATGAAGTTTTATTCTCTGAGCTGGATGGTTTCGTCATGGAGCTTTCATCATTTTTCTGGACGACATCATCAGCGAAAACTTCAAGTAGAGGTCTTGAATTCCATGTCAGTTAAGACTTGTCATCATGACGTATCTGTAATGTTGATATAAGTGACCCTTCTTTTTGTGATTTGAACTGTTATAACTTGTGGCCTGTGTGACCTGTTAATGTATAATATGATGATACCACCAATTATAGAATAGTGAGTTATCGATCGGACCGATAATGCATAAAACGCGTACAACCAGTCTACAGTCCTTATCAGTCCTTCTTACCGCATAGCCCAGCCAGTTAAGTCCAGAACACCAATCTCAACCTCCGCAATATTAATCATGTATTTCAAACATACGGGGTTTATATACCAATCAAACAGACCACATCGTACCATAAAATAGGAAACAACATTTGTACAAGATTTTGTCAAATGTGGCTGTGGATGTGGGAGGTAGTAATTGATAGACATGGCATAATTCAAGAATGGTAAATCGTGTAATAACAGTTCATAGGTCAAAATAAAACTCATAACGAGAGGGACACGAATATGAATAGTTTAGTCATTTAACAATTATACTATAAACATATATGTATAGTATTGATCTATAAGTGGGTTCTAAAAGTTATCATTCATTCTTCTCATCGGGATATTACATGAACCCAGGGTATCTAGTTCTATAGTTTGAAATATAATCTATAAGCAATGTCATATAAGACATAAATAGTCAGATTCTTTTTTTTTGAAGTAAATGATCAACTATATGATTTAATGTGTATATCATTGTAAAAGAAAAGTATACCTTATTCAATATGGAAATGAGATTCATTTGAGTTACTTATTATCATATACATCAATGCGCTTATATCATTGTAAATAAGAGTTGATGTAATATTGACTGAAGTAAGATCGAAGTTGATTAGGAATAAAATGATCAAATTATTAGACTGGAAACTTATAGTTTGTTGATTAAGCTTAGTTTGTTTCTTTTTTCCTTAATTATTATGCTTATTGAGATGAATATGTATTGTGACTGTAATTATCCGATAATGTCTATATATATTTGAAGCAATAATCCTTTTGCAAAAGATCTAAATTACTAATATAAGGAATGATTAAACTAAGTGATGTATTAATGACATGGCTCAAAATCGTTTACAATGGCACAGATACATTCACTCTTTTGTGTTCTCTCAAGTTTTCCTCTTTCCAAATTTACTTCACTGAATTATACTTCTTGAATAACATCTTCAAACCCTAATCTTTCCGATTACTGCTTATACTTTTACTACCTCTACCACTACGGGATTTGAATGGACAACTACATCTCTGTGCTAATGTGGCATGGCAACTTAAACTGATATATGTGTACATACGAAGTTCTACGTTGTTACTGACAGGATTAAACGAGACAAAAATTCATGGATTCCTTCCAAGCTATCGTTTATGAAATTAGTAGACTTAAGTAAGCTAAAAATGTCGATTTATCGATGTCTTTGTTTATTTATGATTTGAGTACCATGTGAGTTATATTAAAATAAACTAGTTAAGAAAGAGAAGTCGATTTGTCAGTAACTACCTAATGCCTAACCTAAAGCATAAAGTTATCTGATATAGTAGGAGGTTGATAACAGCATGGAGTAGGAAGATGGAAATATAATATGATATGAATAGCGATTACTGGTTTAAGCCATGTTGATGGGTGCAGATTTATTGTCAGAATTCACAAAACAGTCTTAATAGCTATTTGAAAACGATACACTGGGTGTAGGATAGAATGGTTTACAGTAAAAAAGTCACATCTATACACTATCTACTTCTGAAGTTTGGATAAAATATGATTCCTAACATTTTGCATGTGTGGGTAAGAGAATATTATGTAACCTTTTTAGTTGCTATATTGTGTCGGAGAAGATCGTCAAAGTCATATGGAATTCATATGACTGACTGCACTGCATAGTTGTGCATAGAGGACAGCTGACAAACGCATTCTAAGTGAGGATCGGAATCAGAGAAGATTGCCTACTCTCACCCTCTTTTATTTCTTCTGGTGGTCGACTGGATTATGAAGACTTTCACATTCTAGGATAAGCACGGAATACAATAGACAGCACGCATGCAACTAGAAGATTCGAGCTTCACAGATGACCGTGCTCGTCCATACATATGAAACTCGAAACAACTGTCTGAAACCCAACACCAATGTCAGAATCTTCAATACGAACGTCAAGACAGTTCTACTGTTTGGAGCTGAAACTTCAAGAACTACTGCAAACATCATCGAAAATGTATAAGTATTTATAAACAATTGTCTACGTAAGATACTCAATGTCCGTTGACCAGACACCACCATCAGCAGCCTACTATAAGAGAGAACAAACTAACTTCCAGCTGAGGAGGAAGTGGGAGTGGATGGGACATACATTACGGAAATTATCAAACTGAATCATGAGGCAATCTCTAACTTGGAATCCTGAAGGTTAACGGAAAAGAGAAAGATCAAAGAACAAACTGTGTGGAGAATTGGAAACATACATGAAAAATGATGAATAGCAACTGGAAATAACTTGAAAGGATTGTCTAGGACAGGATCGGATGTAGAATGCTGATGGTTGGTCTATGCTCCTCCATGAATGTTAACAGGTGTAAGTAAGTAAGTGAACGTTTTATGTTTCAATTCCTTTTAATGTTTATGAATTGTATTTATCATGCATAGATTTTTATAACAATTAAAATTAACTCTACCACTTTACTGATCATTTTGTTGATTTTCTCAATGAATTTTTGTGTAAATAAAACAATGTTTATGCGATAACAATATACTCTTTAAAGTTTAATATTAATTTTAATAGTTGAGATCATGAGTCAATTGAAGCTCGAACACCATAGAAAATCTAGAAGCACTGGATGGCCACTTCATCCTATTGTAGGACTCCTCAGTAGTGCATATCCACGATCCTGCCTTGCAAGATTCCAACCGAGGAACTATCAGGCTTGTGAGTCAAGCGCTTAACCACTAGACCACTGAGCCGGCCGGCATCCAATGGTGTTAATATTAGTTTTCCACGATTGTCTACCTTCAATTGACTCATGATCTCAACTATTGAAATTACTATAATATTCACAAAAACCCCTTCTAATATTAATATTAATTTATGATGTTTACTTTTGAATAGCCTAAAACAATCACCAAATTACGTAATAGTAAATTTCATTTGAATAAAATTCATTTCTTACCTCCAATAAGCATAGTTATCACAGCAAATATTTTCTCATTTATTGTATTCGGTGATACATTACCAAATCCAACACTAGTTAAACTAGTTGTTGTAAAATATAAACTAGATACATATAATGCACGTCTAGTTAATCCATTTGTTTTATTCATTGTTGAATATGAACGATTCAATTGCATTCGTTCACCTAATTCATATAACCAACCTATTGAATATAAAACAGACCAAAAGAAAAAAAAACAGTTGTAGAAACACAATGATAAAATAGATCATTTATGAAGATAGAAATAAATTTGTAATGTAGATATAATCAAACATTCTATTCTTGACTCTTGTTATATACTACTGATGTAAATTCAGTAGTTGAAATCATGAATCAATTAAAGCTAGACCATCATGAAAAACCTCGAAGCATTGGACGGCCGTATCGTCCTATTGTGAGACTCCTCAACATTAAGCATCCATGGTGGTCTAACTTCAATTGACTCATGATCTTAACTATTGAAATTATTACAATCTCCACAAAACCCCTTCTTATACTATTTATATCAATATAAGTAGCATACATATCACAGGATATACTTCATTATTTGAATATTTAATTACTACAAACTATGCATAGTTGCTACACAAACTCCAGTATATAAACCTATATGAGATTATTGTTCTCTATTAGCGTTTAACTCTTGTTATTTAATGAAAACAGGAATTTTCAAAAGATATAATGATAAAATAGTAACTAAATGATAAACAGGATAAAATGAATTTATAACGGTTGAATGAATGTGCATGAGAACCATATATCGATTCTAGACATGTTTTCATATTTTTTGTTACTCAATATAAAGAAACAAAGGGAAGTTTATGCTTTGTTCACTTGTTTAATTAAAATCCATTATATTATTGTTAGACATAAATTAATTTATATTCATAATATTATATCAATAGTTGAGATTATGAATCAATTCAAGCTAAATAACTATGAAAAACCTGGAATTCATTGGACGGCCGTTTTGTCCTATTGTGGGACTCCTCAACAGTGTGCATTCACCTCTTCTGATCTGTTAGTTCCCGATAAACATAATGGATGGTAATTTTAGGATCCATTTATGGATCAATACTAAACGTATATTTCTATTGTATAGAAACTAAACTATGCATGTTCGTATTTCTCTTATCATAAGCTTTATTTTGACCCATAAACTATTATTATACACTTTACCATTCTTGAGTTATACCCAATATATTAATTACTACATCCTTCATTCACAGTCACATCTGGCTAATTCTTTTACAGATGTTGTCTCATATTTTATGGTATGTTGTGATCTGTTTGATTGGTATATAAACAGACTATGTTTGAAATATAAGGATTCATATCGCAGAGGCTCGGATTGGTGTTCTTGACTTAACTGGCTGAGGTAGGCGGAAAGCAGGACCAATCAAGACTCTAGACTGTTCGCACGTGTTTCACGCGTCAGTGATCCGATCGCTAATTCACTGCTCTCTAATCGGCGGTCACAAGTTATAACATGATCATAACATTCTAATTTGCATAATTCGAAAATATATAACATACACATAAGCTACAAATAAAAGTCAGTTTCAAACCATTAATTATGTATCGATATATTACATGTATGATTGAGTGAATTCAGTTTCAAAACTTTATGAACAAAGGAGAAAAGATGGTTACAATTTATCTGTTGATTAGTCATAGGTATTTCATATAGGAGACTAGAAACAATAACAAACCGAATAAAGTTCTATGTTCATTGCAATGATAATTGCTCATTCTTTTGTGAACAGAACACCGGTGGGGACAATCGAACATATTTGACACAAAACTACAGAATATTTCAATAAACTCTGAGAACGATATAGTAAATTGTTAATTTGCAAAACATTAGTCCATCGTTTCAAATTTGATTATCCCTTTGTAAATATCAGTTCATTGTCTCATATTCGATTGTTCATGCATTTTCATACCAATTGAGTTCCGTTTCCGTTCTTTCCTTATCGATCTTCTGCTGAAATACATTCTATGCCTGACCACCGTTATACACTACTTATATAGTAACCCACACCACAATACAATCGGTGAGACTACAATTTATGGACGATTTTTAGGCGAAGCTAGATTGACCTTGAGAGTGTCCAGCTAAAAACCAGTACAAAATGAGGGTTATAAACATATTTGAAGAATTAGACTTATGATTTACAGTTGATGGTTTGGATTAGGAATTAGGTTTAGGATTTTCATTACAAATTGACATCATCTATAATACCAAAACACTATTTAACTAAGTGGGTGAGTGTGTGGTGTGTGCTACTTATATTAACATAAGTAGTATATGATGTATGTTAGTCGTGAACTGAAGGTCTGGCAGCAGAGAGACAAGAGGATCTAACAGTAAGAAATGGAAACATGATGTAATTTGTATGAAAATGGCAGAACAATGAAGTCTAATTCAGTTTGAGACAACTGATGGACATTTTGCAAATTAAGCATTCACTTTATGATTGTTAGATTTTATTAACAAGTTCTATGGTGTTGTGTTAAGTACATTCGATTTACCCTACTGATGTTCTTGTTCACTACGAATGGATTTCGCACCATAACCCAAGATCTATTATTCTAAATATGATTGATTCAACCATAAATTATAGTCTAGCCGATAGATTTGATCAATGAACTATAGAAAATTTGCATAGATACATTCAAACTAAAATCATTTATCAATAAGAATGCAAACAAACCAAAAAAGTTATTGTTTAGTTTAAATCGTTTTTTTGGTTTGACAAATTGTTGCCTATTATCTCATTATTATCTTCAAATTTCATTTGCCTTTATGATAATTTAATTGTGAATAGATTATATGGTATCTATCTAGTTAAGGTGCAAGATATAAAACATAGTTCGAAGTTATACAGACTTCCTTGTCTTTTCTTTTCTTTTTTTTCCCATCGATCAATAAACGTTTTATGGCAGATAACTTCAAAAAAAGAAAAGAGTTTTCTAATCACTCTTCCATAATGAATATCATTTATAGGTATAGTTGAAAAATTCACTCTGTAGTGTTGTTTACTTGAATCTTCCCATTGATGTTTTAGGACAGAAATTGATCAGTCTCTTATTGGCATATTGTGCATACTGTGCGTATTGCCTTAATTTACAAGCATTATAAGCAAAGATGGATAGTGGCTAGCAGTGGAATCCAGGACGCGCGTTTCATCCTGGCCACTATCCATCTTTGCTTAAAATAGTTGAAAAATGTCTATCACCTTGAACATTGAAATTTAAATAAAATGGACTTCATAACATGTTATATAATCGATAAATTTATTTTATGTATTGTTGCTTCGAATCTTCCTATAGTTGTTTATAACACATATGTGTATCCTGTGCTAATTACCTTGATAAATGAATTGAAGTACGAATGATATATAAGATTAGCTTTCCTACAATTATCTATGACATGTTATCATAGTTTGAGAATGGGTTACTGTGAAACTTTGTCATTTCTTTATATTTTTTAATTATAGATAATTAATGATATTAAATAAGAAAGATTAGTACAGTGAAGAGTTTCCTTTTCAGCGAATTTATTTCCAAAGCTGTGCAGTGGCACACCTATATATATACTTATTTTAACAGGATGATAATTATAATACTGATAATCAACTTCTGTTAGACATGGTAATAGTAAGGTTAAATAAACAAAGGTATTAAAAATGTTTTTTTTTGTATAAAACAAGGAAAGTTTAATAATCGTTTGATTGTTAATGCCTTGAATATTCATCAAAAGATAGATAGGGAAATTATCATTGAGACAGGGTGGCTCAGCATGATAAGATAAATTGTTGAAATTAAGATTAAATGTAATCAGGAGGAACGTAGAAACAGAAATAGACCAGTTGGGGGTAGAAGATTTAGAGAGAAGACGGAGGGTGTAAAGGAAGAAGAGTATGAAGAAAGAGGAAAATTAAAAAATAAAAGATAAAGATTATAAGACATCAGGACCATAGTAGAAGAAGCTGTATCAGTCGCTTTTGCACACAAAATTCTGGTCTTTCCAGATGTATGGCTACTGCTTCGGCAATGCAAAGAAGATGCAGTCTAATTGTTTTAGGGAGACTTCTACTTAACTTGTAGATAACTTTTAACGCAGAGTTCGACTTGATTAAGTGACCCGTGTTCTCAAGGTGTTCGATTACTGAGCTTCTTATCGAACCGATTCCTCCTCTTTTTAGCCATGCCGGACAATGTTCGTGAATTCTTTTGGATAAAGTACTCAACGAACGACCTATATACCTAGCTCCACTTGAGCAGGTAAGTGGACAAATGCACATTGAGTTGGTCAGATGCGATAATTCATCTTTAAGATTGTTGGTGAACATTGATTGGCTGGAGAATATTATTCGCAATGTTGCTGCGAAGAATTTTCTTTTTAAGGAATCCGAAATTCTCCTCTTTAAGACATATATGGCTTTATCACCTTTGAATTCGATGTTCATGTTTAAAGTTTTCATTTCTACTGTAATTATTTGTGTTTTTGGCGTTTTGAGCTTTATGTTATTTCACAAATTTCTAAAATCTCCACAAAACCCTTTATGTTATTATCAACGAATATCGAAGGATATCCGATTTTTGATAAGTATCTCCTTCAAGAGGCCCAATACTTTATCTATGACTTCGTGACTACAGATTCGTCGAATTCTTGTAGCGAGTGTCATTATCAAGTTTCTTTTTCGGCTAATGAGAACCCAGCTTTCTGTTTCAACATTTTACCTTATCATGATGAGCCATCCATTCCCAATGATAATTTCCCTATCTATCCTTTGATGAATAATTAAGCCATTAACAATCAAACGATTATTAAACTTTCCTTGTTTTTAAAAGAATTTTTTTAATAACTTTGTTTATTCAGCCTCACTGTCAACATGCCTAACAGAAGTTTATTATCAGTATTATTATCATCCTGTTAATATAAGTATATATATTTGCGATTGTACAGCTTTGAAAATGAATTCGCTGAAAAGGGAACTCTTCGCTGAACTAATCTTTCTTATTTAATGTCTTAATAGGTGTATTCCGTTAATTAATTATATTACATGATAATTATGTATTCACACAATATGTTATTGATGAATCAATTTTAAGTACTATTCAGTTCAGAGATAGATGGTAGTTAGCAGTGGAATCCAGGATGTGCGTTTCATTCTGAATCCTGAAGTCGATGTTCACTCTGAAACTCAAACCTAGTACTATTTGCTTCAAATATCAGGGCTTTATTTACTGAGCTATTGAGTCAAGGAAATATCGAGGGAATCCGCACAGGCTGTACAAATGCCAACAAGTAACTGATCGATTGCATTTTTAAACATCAATGGGAAATTCAAACAAATAATACAATGTAGTGTATTCGTAAATCACCTTGATTTTGGAGGGGAGGGAGTCAAGTAAATCCATATCTCCAGTCTCTGAGTTCTCACTACGCTACTATGTTATTAATTAAGCTTTTATTACAAACTAAATAAGAATATGATCATGTTTACGGGACTAAATGTTACAGTAAAATTTAACAGATATTCATCCAACGTTGTATGATAGGTGATCGACAGAATTTGATTAAGAATCAATTCTACACAAAAATCAAACTCGTTACTACTTACTCATCAACCAACATGAATATATCAGTCTTGAAGAAGTTCAGTCGTGACCTAGATAGTCAAGTGATAATATTTATGACTATGTTTTTCAAAACTGTATGTACATTTTGTTGACAAGTGACAAGAGACCAAAAACCTTCGTCCAGAGATACCTGCCATTTGCCTCTAATGATATAGACTTTTTATTTTAGATAAACTATTGAATCAACTAACCATAACTTATTGTCACAACACATTTAACAATCGATAAATATCTGGATATTTTTTGGACATTATAGGGGAGTAATCTAATCGTAATATATACTCGGTTAATAAAGGTTTTTATACAGAAAGACACCATAAAATTGGAATGATTAGCAAGATATGCTAAGTTTGTAGGTTATATTGGACAAAGACTGATCTCAATGTTAAAATCATCGGGAAACATGGATAACTGTAAAGATGTTTCATTCTAATACGAAGCACCTCAGAAGCTCACATTTACAACCACACCAGTAATTGAATCCCTGATCTTCAGTAGACCTAATTGTTAATGTCAGTATACAATGTACAGCGACAATCTTCGTTAAACTATTGAACTCCGATCCAACCTTTTAATCGTCAAGCGTTCATTACAGGATGTGAAGTTCCTGGATTCTACCCTTGATGGAGTTGTGTGACCCCACTGATGAGAAATCCGATAGTGATATGTGGGTGAAAATGATAAAGATTGATTGCTTGCTGAGTCAGACAAGTAGACAGTGAAACAGGTACTAGATAAGTTATACATTTTACTTTACTCTTATAATTATTGTGTTGGATTGTGTCGAATTGTGTCAGTTTTTAGTGTGGAACTATATTTACGTTGTAGTAAGGCTAATCATGTGTTCTTGATCTGAGTTGTGTTGAAGTCCTGTAGAATAGACACTGGAAGGGAATCTAGTGTAGATATTCCTCGTAAGCAAATTAACATATTCGTGTAAAGACGAGGAAACTCCGAGCGTTAATCATAGATGCACCATCAACTTGTCGAAAATATTCGCCATCAAACGTGAACTGAACACTGGCAGTGCATAATAAAAGTAATTCTTTCAACAATGATGACCGAATAGAAAAAGGGGAAAATTGGTAGATATATAATCACAAAGGAAATCCACGGTCTTTGTTAATGGTACATTTTGAGATTTCCCGGTTACTAGATAAACTCACTGCGGTTCAAAACGATATCATAATGACCTATGAAGCAGGAAATAATGGTCGATTGGCCTTTTTAGACATACTTTTAAGTTAAAGGGATGATGGTACTATAAGACGATCAGTTTAAAGGAAACCAACTTGGACGGATCAATACTAAAATTTCCATTGTTTTTGTCCATCGCAATACAAGCGAAGCTTAATCAAGTGTCTCTGTAAAAGGACTCAAAGAATTCGCACTACTGACACGGTTGAAAAAGATGAAAAAGATTACTAACTGTGTTAGGTTTAAAGCTAACACGAATTCACTCGATCTGCGAACGAGAACAAGACTCAGTGACCAAGACCATTAAGCTAGCTATTTGATGCATCCCAGCCTCGCTAACTAGAGGGAGAAGTCCAAGCATGGAACGGGGAAGTATATTCTGCAAGCAACCAGAAACGAGAGATAACAACAAACACAATTCAAAACATATATATATATATATATATATACAGTACAAAACCGTCCTTGAGGAGAGTTACAAAATAGCATTTAAGACATTACCCAGTGGGAAATACGACGTGATGGTGACAAAAGTGCCTCTGGCGCAAAAACAAAGAAATTCAAATTTCCTAAATAAAATCACAAAATTAGATCCTTTTTCAAGTGAGTTCTGGGGATCTAACATCCCAAACAGACTGATACATTAATGTTAATAGATGCAAAAGTCACTTATTTTTTGTTGATTCAGTTCCAAAGAAAAAAACATTGAATAGTTACTTATTCACACTAATATATTTTCTATCATTTCATTTTCATTAATATAACTTTTGTGATGTGTTTTTTATGCTCAATATATAGCTAATCCACAAGTAATTTATTTTCACTTCAAGTAATTCATTAGTATATTCATGAAAACTAAAATATTCTTGAGAAATATAAGTTTCAATAATTGAAATCATGATTCAATTAAAGCTAGATCACAATGAAAAACCTGGAAACATTGAACGGCCATTTCGTCTTATTATAAGATTCCTCAGTGGTACGCAACCATGATCCTGCCTCGTAAGATTCCAACCCAGTACCTACGAGTCTCGCGTGTGAGTGCTTAAACACTAGACCATTGTGCCGGATGGCATCCAACAATGTTAATGTTTAACTTCAACTAATGTATGAAATTGAATGACACATCCAACATTATCATCAGTGAATTTCTATCTCACAAGTTTAGATCGGTATTATATAGCAACTTGATTTTATTTAAACTATCATAAATTTTTTTCGAATCTTATCTATCATGATTATCAAACATATAAATAAGAACACAGGGTGTGTATGTGTGTGTGAGTGTGAATAGATAAGAGAATTTTACAACCTGTTTTCCTACAAGTTTTTTTTTACAAAAAATAATTTTGTCTTAGAGACACATAATGAACCATGTTTTGCCCTTAGTGATTAATAAATCCCTATAGGAATTAATAAACGACAAGTATTTCATTATTGATTGGGTTTTTTTTTGTTAATTTAAAAGTGAACTATTTTTTTCTCTCTCACAAAAACTGAATAGTTTTATATTGATTGTTTCTATTGAAAATTTATGATAATACAGTAAACGAAAAGAGAAAAAAACGGGCATAAAATGAGAATAATTGAATTCTAACTATATTCATTGTTATTCCTTTGAATGAAATAAAAGAGTAGATGTATGATTTTAATAGAGACATAATCATCATCAGTCAACTTTCCCTCTTGAAATGCTCTCACATGGCCACATGTATACAGTCAATGTCAGGAAAGTCCTACTCAATGTCTTCTCACATCGGGGGTGTTGTTTAAGAAATTGAGAGAACTAAAAGTGAATATTCGGCGCTTTAACAAGATTGGTGGACATGGAGAGTCCATCTAAAGGAGTTGGAAAACCCTGATTCCAAATCAATGATGAACATAGATTCCAGTATCCTGAATGGTGGAGAAGATTTGTAGCCCATGTGGATGAAGTTTGTGCTGATGATGTCGTTCAGAAGAACGATGAAAGCTCCACGACCAAACCATCCAGCTCAGAGAACAAAACTCCACCAAAAAGTATCCTGAATTAATAAATGGTAAATGGACCAATTGTTGGTGACTGGCTATCATGGGACTGCATCTCTTGACGTTGCTCCACTGAAGTATGAATTAGATTTTTAGGTAAAAGGCTGCAAGTGTGACCTCCTAAGTAAACCACTTACTTCGGTTTTGAGCACCCGAGCAGTATCACAGCCCTTACGTAAAACGATCTATTTAGAGCTTCCTTGTACCAATGTTTATATGTTTAAATATGTAAATAAATAAATTCGTCTTATTTGCATAAATAAATATACGTAATAATGAACTTACTGTATTCCCTTGTAATTTTCGACTTAAATTCCTCTTTACCAATACAATACCATCCACAAGCAAACCAATGAGCAACAAGAAAGAACATACACATTAGTAAACCCAATATTACTGTACTATATTGAGAATATCGTTCAATTTTTTGAAATAATCTTGCCAATCGAAGTAAACGTGCCAATTTCAATAAATGAATCCAATTACCCTAATGAAGGGAAAAGTTAAATTATTTATTATATTTTAAAGTTAAAGATGATCTAAAATGATTAGGTTATAAATGAACTTGACTGATCAATCTCTGGTAAGTAAATATCACTTAATTACAACATTTCACAATCTTTAAGGTAAAAATCACTGACATTTGGTAGAAATGTCCTCCTGGAGCCCCCCTGAGGTTTACTGCCGGTCCTAAGCACGGATAAAGGAGAAGAGGGTTGGACACGGGGTTAGCGACACCATTCCGTAGAACACTAACTCGCTAAAAATACTATAACCAGAAGAAATGACTCAAACCATTTAAACTCTGCCCTGGTAGTTATAAAGTCTTCATTTAGAAGAGTTATGACAAAAGTCGAGTTCGTTCAAAAGTCACAAGGCTGATGCCCCTTCTGACAAACAGAGTATTCATTAATTTAGATACATGGAACGCTTGTACAATGTAGTAAATCGGGAGAGTCTTCCAAATTGCTGTCTCTGTCCATTTTATTTTAATTCACTTATAATATCTATTATATCACTAGATTATATGCTGTAAAATTGAAAAAAAACACAGTAGTTAGGAGTAATTTCTTTTTCTTTTTTTTCTTTTGTATAGCTTGGTAATGCCAGAACTCTATGCTACTTTGTCCACTGCATAATCAGACCAATGGAATTTAGGAATACCAAACTTCTATAGAGTTTTATAGTTAGTATATAAGTATTATTTTACTATATTTTAATTTTTGTTCTCAGTTAGAGTGTATCTTTGGTGAACTATTTCCCAAAGTATTGTGTTTTGGGATATTTCGCTTATGATTTCCTACTGTATCCAGATATTTAATAATGAATCAAAGTAATGATTACCATTACATTGGCTGATTATTGAGTAGTGCAGTGTTTATTTATTTCTTAGAGTTGATCGAATTCAATCTATTAAGTTACAATGTGACCATTCGTTTAAATGAGAAAATATCGCATTCATTGTGTTGAGATATTAGATGGTTAGAGGTAGTTAAGAAGAAACATAAGACCTGAATATCATGCTAGCCAATACCTATCAATATGTCATGCTTGTAATCCTGAGGGAAATGATGTTTTATGTGGGTTTTAAACCAGTGTCGTCTAGGTTTATAATTAGGGAATAATACTGTTAATGCCATTTTATACATTTTATAAAATGCTATGTCCCGATTAGAATAATGAATAGTAACTTTTGGGATCTATTTATGGACCAATACTATACGTATGTTTTTATCGTATAATTGTTAAATAACTAAACTGTTCATATTCATGTTCTTCTTATTATAAGCTTTATTTTGACCTACGAACCGTTATTATACGTTTTACCATTCTTGAGTAATGCTTTTCTAATAATCACTACCTCCCACATTCACGGCCACATTTGGCCAAATCTTGTACAAATGTTGTTTCCTATTTTATGGTAAGATGTGGTCTGTTTGGTTGGTATATAAACGCAGTATGTTTGAAACAAATGATTCATATTGCAGAGACTGATATTGGTGTTCTGGAGTTAACAGGCATGGTTAGGCGGTAAGCAGGACTGATAAGGACTGTAGACTGCTCATACGTGTTTTATGCATTATTGGTCCGATCGATAATTCATTGTTCTCTGATTGGCGATATCATCACATTATACATTAATAGGACACTGGGTACATGTTATAACATAAAAACATCATATTTTGAGAAGAATGATTATGACTACGTAATTCATAAGTATTGAATCAACTGAGAGAGATAAATGAATTCAAATTGTGTAATATTTACGTATAAACTGGTTTTCTGTTTCAACTCAACTGCGTAATAATGCATCAGTATAATAGAAGAACCTTATTCTCATTTATTGTTAAATTATCTAATCAATCCTTAATAATTATGTTTCATAAATAATTCTGAATTTGTATTCATGTTAACTAACTCATCACCATTTTAATTGACATTAGTTTTCTCATCAACTGTAACTTAATTTCTATGAATGTAGAACTATGATTGTAGATGTGAAGGCGCGGATCGGAAAAGCAAGAGGAGTAACATCTACAACTGAATAATATCTGGAAGTCAAAACAATTGTCAACTAACACCAAAGTCAGAATTCTAAATACAAAGGTTAAAATAGTTCCATTGTATGAGACAGAAACTTGGAGAACCATGAAAGTCATCATTCAGAAGATACAAGTGTTTATGAACAGTCGTCTACGCAATATACTTCAGATCCGTTGATCAGACAATATCAGCAACAACTTACTGTAGAAGAGAATAAACCAGGTTTGAGCGCAGGAAGAAATGAGGAAGAAGCGTTGGAAAGTTTATAGGACGCATATTGAGAGAGAATTAATAATTTTAAAGGTAGATTCATCCACTGAAACCAGTTAATATGTCTTTGATTATTATGGAGAGACAAAACAACAGACTAATCACTATATACTAATCAATTAAACATCTGTTGTTTACCTATTAGTCATTAGCTTAGGGATTAATACTTGAAGTTTCACTGATCATACATAACTGATAAAGTACAGCTACAATATAAAGTTACCAAGTCATTGACCATAACTATTGTGAATATGGTAGACTTTAAACGTTTTATAGTTAAATAAATCATTTATTTTTATTTTAACACATAGATCTTTGTGCAAGGAGGCACCAAATACATATGCGCAACAGAAATTTCATTTGATTTGTGTGAGGGCTGTGATGCTGCTCGGGTGCCGAAGCTGGTGGTTTCCTTAGAGGGCCACACGTTGAGCCTTTGACCTGAAGGTCTGATTCACAAGGCAGTGGAGCTACGTTAAGAGATACAGTCCCATGTTAGCCGGTCACCAACGATTAGTTCATACTCCATTTGTTCTTTCAGGATACTGGAGTTGGTGTTCACCAATGGTTTGGAATCTGGGTTTCCCAACTCCTTTAGGTGGACTCTTCATTTCCACCAACCTGGTTAAAGCGCCAGACATTCTCTTTTTATCCTTTCAATTTCTTAAACAACACCCGTGTTTTGAGAAGGCAGTGAGTAGGACTTCTCTGGCAGAGGCTATATACGCGTGACCATGTGAGAGCATTTCGAGAGGGAGTGCGGACCCTCTCTACTCTTGACCGTACCAGAGCATTTGGAGGCAATTAAATAAACTGGTGCTTTTTGTTTGTTTATTATGCTTTATTTTATGCCTAGATATTAATCTGATTAATACAGAATTCTTTTATATTTAACTAATACATCGTGAATAAAAAAAGGGATATGACAATTGTTGTAGTTATCAGTACAAATACAGATACCATCACATATTCATGAATATTATAGATATATCATTAGAAATGATTTATTTAGGTGAACATTATTGTTGAATGCCTATCTTGATATACCAGTATCGGATAACTATTTATCCTAAATTTATCATATGTCTAAATATAGTATTGTTTCGACAAATTGAATGTGCGTTTCGTCTTATTTAGAAATCGTCAGATGAATGAATCTACATCTCAGAATAGATGTTCACTTTTGAACTCAAACCCAGTACTGTTAATTTTAAATGTCATCGTGTTATCCATTTATCTACTGAGTTCTGATAGCCACTTGTTTGTGTAATAGGGTAAAGTTTAAATTCCCTTAGTATTATTTACTTAAATCTTTATATTGATGTTTAGGACTGTAATTGATCAGTCTTCTATTGAAATATATGTTCATTCTGTCATTTGTTACTCATTGAACATCATTCAATCCAATCAATCATAAAGTAGAAATAATTTAGAACTATTGAAAATTGAATGTTTCATTCTCTTATTTGATTGAAACAACAATTGATTCATTTAATACTAATCAATTTCATTATTATTTTTTTTTGTTTGAAACGAAAAATTAAAACATTTCAAAACGAACTGTCAATCTGTCGACAATATTCTATTCACAATATTATAAAGATGGATAGTGATTTGTACATAAAACTAAACCAGGATTATGAAATAATTCGAATTAATTATGAAAAATGGATTATAAACTTACACTATTATACCTAACTGATGAACACGGCCAAATGAACTGGTACGACTGAGGGTGGGAAGAGTCAGCTCACCCTCTCGAAATGCATTCACATGGCCACGTGCATGCGACCACAATCATGGAAGACCTATTCAATGCTTTCTCGTGGCCAGGGCGTTGTTTACGAAATCGAGAGAACATAAAGCGCTTTAACCGGGTAAGTGAACACAGAGAGTTCACCTAAATGAGTTGGAAAACCCTGATTACAAACAAATGGTGCACATGGGCTCCAGTATTCTGATGGAACGAATGACGTATGAACCAAATGATGGTGACCGGCTACCATGGGACTGTATCTCTTCACGTTGCTTCATTGCCTTGTGAATCAGACATTTAGGTCGAAGTTTCTGGATGTGACCCCCTAAGAAAACCACCTGATTCAGTTTGGGCACCCAATCAGTATCACAGTCCACACACAAACCAAGTAACTTGTATGGTGCATATGCATTCGGTGCTCCTTTGTGCAAATATTCATATTTAAATAAAATAAACACTTCAATAAAAGAACTTTGTCCCATGGTGAATGAATTATGAGCAACAAACTCTAATTCATCAAAGTGGATATTCTTTACAGTAGGAAATTATTAACAGCATACTTAAGATAAACTCCGCCTGGAGTCCCTCCGGGGGCTACTACTGGTCCCAAGCCCGGATAAAGGAGGAAGGTTAGGCATGGGGTTAGCGAACTCATCCCTTAGAAAACTTACTCGCTAAAAAAACGCTAACCAATGTTTCAGATAGAAAGTTGCTTATTTTTAACAAAAATGTAAGCAATTTAGAAAATCCTCATAAAAGAAAATAAGTCTTCAATTGTTTACTTGAATCATCCCATTGATGTTTAGGACTGCAATTGATCAGTCTCTTATGGGCGAATGGGAATACTGTGTGTATTGCCTTATTATTGCCTTAATTCATAAGCATTATAGGCGAAGATGGATAGTGTTTAGCAATGAAATCAGTAGCTACGTGGATAACGCAATGGCATTTGAAGTGAGCGGTACTGGGTTCGAGTCCCGTAGCGAAAATCAACTCTGAGATGCAGGTACATCCAGTTGACGAGTCCCAAATAGGATGAAACGCGCGTTCTGTATTTTACTGCTAGTTACTATCCATCTTTATTTAATAATAATAATGATTATTATAACTTACATAGCGAAGTAACTAATTTAATTTCAATTGAATGATAAGTAACAAGGTGAACATATAGTACAATGGATTGATTATTAATTTAATGGTTTAAAAAGTAGGTTTTGCAATAAATAATATACATTAAATAATTGGTCAAATTAGCTCTATCAATTTTTTTAGAAAACTAAGATAATTACGAAGATTTGTGGAGATTGTAGCAAATGAACATTTAAAGTCATGAGCCAATCTAAGCTAGAACACTATTGAAATCATGGAAGCATTGGACAACCGGTGTGTCTTAGTATGAGACTCCTTATGGTTCAGTTGAAGTTAGACATTAACATAATTTAATGCCAGCTCAGTTGTCTAGAGGTAAAGCGTCCACATGCGAGACTGGAGGTACATTGGTTCAAATCTCACATGCAGGATCGCGAGTGCGCACTGCAGAGGAATTCCATACTAGAACGAAATGGCCTTCCACAGATATCAAGATATCAATATTGTTCAAGCTGCGATTGACTCTTGAACTTAACTTTCAGAAAACTAAGATTGTAAATTAGGTAGGTTATCAAAAAAAATTATAATTACTTCCATCCTAACATTATTTTAGGTTTCTCTCTATTTTATATCCAAGCGTACAATTCACTATTGTTTAATAGTTTGCATAAATTACCAAGACGTTTAATATAGTTTTTGAGATGGTGGAGAAGATTTGTAGCTCAGATGGATGATTATGATGGAGTTTTGTTCTCTGAGCCGGATGTTTTGGTTGTGGAACTTTCATTGTTCATCGAGGTCTACAGGACAAGCTATGAACCATATGTGGAAAAATTCGAAAACTTCACTTCTATCTGAAGTTTGTGCTGATGATGTCGTTCGGAAGAACGATGAAAGCTTCACAACCAAACTATTCAGCTCAGAGAACAAAACTCCATCATAAACGTTTAACATGTGTTCGAATGTTGTTGTTGCTGATTTTTTGTAAACTTTTTCTTGTTATTTAACGGATGAAACTAGCTTAGTGAATTATGTGTACTTTTGATTGAATGCATTGTACTTTCATTGAAAAAAAACCAATCATTTAATCAAGATGTCCATGGTACTTTGTTAAAAAAGGGCTTTTCAGAAAAAAAACGATTTGTTTATTTTATTATATTAAGAATAATGTGTAAACTTATTGTTTCGTTTTATTGTAACAATTCCTAATATTTTTTTGATTGAGATCATGAACCGATTGATTTTAGACCACCATTCAAAACCTGGAAGCACTGGATGACCAACTCGTCCTACTGTGGGACTCCTCAGCAGTGCGCATCCACGATCTCGCCGGTAGAATTAGAACCCAGAGCCCTCAGTCTTGCGCGCGAACGCTTAACCTACTGGACCACTGAGCCGGCCGGCATCCAGTGGTGTTGATGTCTTACCTCAACCAATCCACGAAGTTGCGCGATTATATTCCATTGTACTGAGGTAGACACCTGTTTCTACCCGACACGGATTAACTCCACTGGTCAAGGCTTCTCACCAAAACTCCAGATTTTCAATGATGGTCTAAGATCAATCGGTTCATGATCTCAATCAAAAGAAACTTAACAATCTACAGAAACCCTAACCTAATCACTGCTTGTATGTTGAGGTTATTCAATTAAATTCTATTAAATTGATCTAGGTAATATGGTGAATGGTGTTGTGGACCTTAGATCCCCAGAACTGACTTGGAAAAGGACCTTAGTTTGTAATTTTCTTTAAAAAATTTGAATTTCTTTGTTTCCGCGCCAAAAGCGATTTTTTCATCTTCATGTCGTAATTTCCACTTGGGAGAATCTTAAATGCTACTGGTCCGTTTTACATTTTAGTATGCTATTTCGTAACTCTCCCCAAGAACGGATTTGTGCTGTATATATACATTTTGATTTTTGTCTTTTGTTATCCCTCGTTTTCTGGCTTTTTACGGTATATACTTCCTCATTCTAAGCTTGGACTTCTTCCTCTAGTTAGTGGGGCTGAGACGCATCGAATAGCTATCCTATTGGTCTTTGATCACCGAGTCTTTGTTCCGTTCGCAGATTAAGTGAATTTGTAACCGCTTCAAACCTAGCAAATGGCAAGTTTTTTATTGACAAGCGTTTCGTGAAGGTGTTATCCAAAAGGCAGTGGTGCAATGTCAGCAGATATAATCCCATGTTAACTGATCACCAATAATTGGTTCATATGCCATTTGTTCCTTCAGGATACTGAAGTCCATTTGGACCATTTGTTTGTAATCAAGGTTTTCCAACTCCCCTAGATGGATTGTCTTTGTTTACAAACTCGGTTAAAGCGCTGGATATTGGCATTTTGTCCTCTCAACTTCGTAAGAACACCCGTGTTGTGAGAAGGCAGTGAGTAGGACTTCCCTGACAGTGATCATGTAAGAGCATTTCGAGAGGGCGAGCTGACTCTCCACACTCACGGATGCATCAGAGCATTTGGGGGAAAGGTCGAATAAATGATTTTTGACATTTGTAAATAGATACTATGCATAAAAGTCGCTTGGAGATAAAACACTATCATTTTATTTAATCTGTCATTCATAAAATAAATCTGTTATAATACCAATGTAGCCAAAAAAATTTATTTAGCATAGTGTTACTGAGGTAGAATTTCGAATAACAAGGAGGATAGACACATCAAACTGATAGGCGTCTACTAAAAGGAAATCTAGATTATTGATTTCGCTAGATTATTCAATATCACACGAACTCAGTTTGCATTTTATTTATAAATATCTGTCTTTATCTAAAATTTCATAATATAAAGATTGTTATCATTCAGTGGAAGTTTAATAACAGGCTTAAGTAAGTAACTAATATGTATGTGAATGGATTTTTGTAAATATTATAGCAATTTCAGTAGTTGAGATCATGATTCAGTTGAAGCCAGACCACCATGGAAAACCTGGAATCACTGGACGGCTGTTTCGTCCTAGTATGGGGCTCCTCAGCAGAGTTCATCCACGATCCCGCCTTGAAAGATTCAAAACTGCGACCTGTCATTCTCATTCGCGAGAGCTTAACCACTAGACCACTGAGCCGACCTGGTGGCATCCAACAGTTACTAGCTTCAAGTGGTAGATCCTGGAGTTCTACTGAGAAGCCGTGATCAATCAAGTTCATCCAGGTCTGTTGTGAGATTGTAACTCACTGAAGACCATTGTGGACAGTGGCGCAATTTCGTGGATTAGTTGAAGTTAGACATTAACACAATTTGATCCCGGCCGGCTCAGTGGTCTATAGGTTAAGCGTGAGACTGATAGGTCCTGGGTTCAAATCTCTCAAGGCGGGAGCGTGGATGCGCACTGCTGACGATTCTTGTACTGGGATGAAACCTAGATTATTGATTTCCCTAGATTATTCAATATCACACGAATTACACCTTTATAAAGACTTTCAATGTGTATATTAACCCGTTAATTTAATAAATACTTTTCATATCAATCTTATTATACTTATTATAAGCTTCCAAAACAATGTTTTCCAAATTGATTACAATTTTCTGAGTTGTTCATAACATTTATTCCTGGAATTTTATTCCCAAGATTTTAAACATGGAGATTAAAGTATTTCAAAATAAATACAATTTTAACAACAAACAAAATGTTAATTAAATAATCCTATAAGTCATAGAACATTCAATTCTGATAACTAATACAATAAGATAAAATGACCATTCAGTACTTTCAAGTGATCGAGTTTTTAATGAACTGATGATCTCAACTTTGAATAATACAATTCTCTTTGAAATAATGAATCTAATTCAAAAACATCGAAGACAATATATAAGTTTAATGATAAGCCATATTGTTAATCAATTAATCTATATTGATCGTTTAAGTAAATATGATCAGTTTCCAAATAATAATAAAAAACTGTGTGAACTAACTTATTTAAAGGTAAACATATTTAGTTGACAACACAATAGTAGTAGCCATCCCCCGATTGAAAGATCACATAGAATCTAATTCAAACTATTCAGATTATCATTAGCATCTAGTGATCAATCAATTGTGATTATATCACAGTCGTACAAGGGGACGGTCGGATAGTTCGATGGTAATGTCTCTAACTGTGAGGCTGAGTGACACGGGATCGAATTCGTCACTGAGCATCAGTTCCCTTAAGATTACAGTTACACCTTGCTAACGAATGCCAAGTAGCACGAAACCTGGGTCATCAGAGTTTTCTGTTGACTACCTCCAACCATCATATTAACTCATACCTTGTACTTGTTGTTTCAACTGAAAAAAGTGTTTTAGTCAAAACTTTTCAACTTACCATTTCACCAATAGTTCCTTGTATTTCAGGATTATTTACAGCTAAAATAACATCGAATGGAATAGCCGCCAATAAATCAAGAAAGAACCAACCACGTAAATAATTAATAGCAATCGCTTTTAAATGATATACAACTTGTCCACTTTTACTAACATATGTAGTCCAAAAATTTAATATAATATCTGTTTAAAAGAAAGAGGAGATACATCTATTGTACCTTTCATTCACTAGATGTTATTACAAATGAAAGGAAGTATAACAATGCACAAACTGAACTGAAATTGTATACACAATATGACAAGTAGAGGTTTTTATTTTATGCCCAATTAATGCATATACAATTATTAAATCAATACAGGTATTTGTGGTGATTGTAGTATTGTAACAGTTAACTTGATTAGTCAATCTAGGCTAGACCATCATGGAAAACCTGGAAGCATTGACCGGTCGATTCGTCTTAGTGTAAGATTCTTTAGCAGTTTGCATGCACGATTCCTCACGTGAGAATCGAACTCACGACCTTTGGTCTTGCGTGCAAATGTTTAACCTCTAGAATATTGAGTTGGCATCTAATGGTGTCACATAGTTTTACCGAATAAGAAAAATAACCGAACTGATTGGAAAATTTTCTCATTGCCTGATTTGACGAATACAAATTAAAAATTGTCAAATAACAGTAAATAAAATAACAGTATTCATCATACTTTTACAAATAAAATGAAATACAATCAAGACTTTATAAGCAAAGATGGTTAGTGGATAGTAGTAGGATCCCGAGCTGGATGTATCTGCATCTCAGAGGTGATGTTTACTCTACAGGACTTCAAAACAACTCGGATTAAGAACAAGTGATCAGCCTGACTAGAACGTAAATATATATTTCCACACCAAAACCTGACACAATCCAACAACCATCAACAATCAATAATAATAATAATAATAATAATAATAATAATAATAATAAGGAAAAAGGAATATATAAATCATCTAACACTTGTCAGACAATCAAAAAGTCTGAGTAAGTATACAACCAATCATTGTCATTCTTGCTCACATATCAGTTAGTTGCTGAACAAATGGAAATACATTTTATCTTCTTAATATTTGAACGACTTAGTAATTACAACATACGAAGAGGATTTTGTAGTTAACTGTCATTTAATCATCATTGGAAACGTTTTAACAGAATATTTTGTATTTGGCTACATGTGCACGACTAACAAACTGATTTAGATAAGAGAGAAATTCACAAAAACGCGATAAAGATTATGCCTTCACATTCTTTTATTAAGTTTAAAGTTGAATTCTGTAATTGCTTTATTCAGATTATTGAGAAGTCAAAACTATTTGCTAAACTTAAACAAAACATTTTGTCATTCTTAGTTGATAATACATTCAGTCAAAGTGTAGTGGACGCTAATCACATCTAAACATTTCGACTGAGAGAAAGGTACAGACTGTAACAAAAAAGAGCGATACGGCGAGCTTACGATTGTATGAGCTACCTTTTAAGGGGGGATCGGTGTGGTGTTCGCTACATATGCGGACAGATATAATTAGTTTGCGGCAGAAATTGGAAATGGAATGCCTACTATCAGAAGAGGGAAACAAAAAGAAGATAAAGGAGAACATAAAGCAACCAAAGCACTGAACGGCCGTTTCGTCCTTGTGTGGGACTCCTCAGAAGCGCTCATCAACGACCCCGCGAGATTCCAACCCAGGGTGCGCACTGCTATGGAGTCACACAGTAGGACGAAAAAAGGCCATCCACTACTTACAGGTTTTCCATGGTGTTCTAGCTGTGATTGACTCATGATCTCAACCATTGAAATTATTATAATATCCGTGAAATAACCTTCTGATACTAATCAGTATATGCTCACTAGTGACTAACTTCAGAAGGAATTTCCTGGAGTTCTAATGAGAAGTAGTGACCAATCGAGTTCAAGCAGATCTGTTGTGAGATGTCAGGTCACTGAAGACAAAGGTGGGCGGTGGCGCAATTTTGTGAATTGGTTGAAGTTAGACATTAACACCGTTGGATACCGGTTGGCTCAGTGGTCTAATGATTAAGCGCTTGCACGCAAAACTGTTAGGCCCAAGGTTCGAATGTCGTGGGTGACGGGATCGTGGATACGCACTGCTGAGGAGTCCCATACTAGGAAGAAACGCTCATTCAGTTCATCCAGGTTTTCAATGATTGATCTAACATCAATCGGTCCAAGATCTCAATCAATAACTCAATAATCAATTTCCACACAATCAACTATTTACATTTTGTTGTTTTGTTTTAGTTTAAATTTCAATGAACAAACATTTATCTTTCGTGATGATAATTAATTAAGTTGAAATGAATATACTACTTTTGTAACTGATTTTTAAATTTAATAATTTTGTTTTTCATTGAAACAGTTAGATTTAATAATAGTTAATTTAAATTACGTGATAAATGACAATTATGTTCTAATGCATGATAAGAGATTTTCTTTCACAGTTTATACTTGTTCTTCCCTCATCTGTAGAAATGATGTCTAATAGTTTTTATAGGCTTTATATCTGACTCCAGTTTGATCATTAGTCATTGCTATTGAGATATATATATATATGTATGTCGCCAATTCTCGTAATATAATTATTGGCTTGATTCGCGTTAATCCATAATAGAGTTAAAATAAAAGTCGAATACGAGAATAGATTTTCTGAATGTATATATTTTGTACAATTGATGATCGAAATAAACGATTGAAGAAAGCGAAGCGAAGAGAGAAGAGTGAAACGATGCGCAGTGAAGATGTGTAAGCCAAGCAATAATCGTTATTTGTAGCTGATGAAAAAAAATAAACTACAGATATGTGGTGAATAAATTCGCCTGTAGCTCTTCTAGATGATTACTGCTTGGTTGGGGTCCGCGTGACTATAGTAACCAATGGTTGGAGACTCTTGGTGACATGGCTCAGAATCAATTACAATGGCGTACGTGTATACGTTCTTTGTCTTCCCTTAAACTATAAGATTAAAATTATTTCATATTTTTCTTTCTACGAACTAATTCTTTCTTCCTGTATTATATCCTTATACACAGTCTTTATTTTATATAATACCACCACTAAATTAACCACTCTTGTGAATTCGGTGTTCGTCTTGCTGTGCTAATGAGGTGTGACAACTTGGACTGATTTATATATGTGCCTGGTCCTACGTTGTAACTGACTGATCGATTAATTGAAGCCCAGATAAAGGAGGAGAGTTGGACATGGAATTAACGACCCCATCCGTAGAAAACTAATTCGCTAAAAAAACGCTAACCAGAAAAAATTGTTCAAACGATTGAAATTCTGTCCTGGTAGTTAAAAGATCTTCATTTAGAAGAGTTATGACTCGTCATGATCAAAGCGAGTTTCCTTCGGAATTCACGAGGCTGATACCGCTTCTGACAATCAGAGCATTCATTTATTTAGGTACATGGAATGTTCGTAAAATGTGGGAGACCGAAAGAGTCTTCCAAATAGCTGCAGAAATGATGAGATACAACGTGGAGGTGCTTCGGATCAGTGAAACACATTGGATTCAAGTTGAACAACAACGACTCGCTCAAGGGAAATTCTGTTATACTTCCGCCATGAAGAAGAAAATGCCCTACATACGCAAGGAGTTGCATTGATGCTGTCCAAACAAGCACAAAATGCACCTATAAAATGGGAATCTCATGAAGCAAGGATCATCAAAGTCTCCTTCAAAACAAAGAAAAAGGGCATTTCAATGAACATCATCCAATGCTATGTGCCTACTAACGACTACAATGAAGACGTTAAAGACAAATTCTACGATAGGTGACAGTCAATAGTCGAGAAGGTACAAGCTGAATAAACAGAATTAAACAAGCAAGTGCACACGAGCATCAGAACCGACAAACGTAAATATGTGGAAGATTTAGTAATGATGGCGGAAAGGCTGATATAGAAAGAAACATGCGACAACTATATCGCACAACAAAGAAACTCGCTGGAAATTATCGTAAACCAGAACAACCAGTGAAAAGCAAGGAAGACGAAGTGATCACCAACATTGAAGAACAACAAAACAGGTGGGTAGAATGCTTCAAAGAACTCTTGAATCGACCAGCTCTACTGAACCCACTTTACATCGAAGTAGCAGCCACGGACCATGGCCCACCAACAATTCAAGAGATCAGCATGGCTATCAGACAAATCAAGAGTGGCAAAGCAGCAGGACCATAAAACATTCTAGCAAAGGCACTGAAAGCAGACGTCGCAGTAACTACAAGGATATTCAACATTCTCTTCACCAAGATTTGGGATGAAGAGTAAGTACCAAGAGACTGGAAAGAAGGACACCTGATCAAGATACTCAAGGAAGGCGATCTCAGCAAGTATGAGAACTACAGAAGCATCAATCTTCTTTCAACATCAGGAAAAGTCTTCAAAAGGTTATTGATAAACAGAATGAAGGACTGAGTAGACGCCTAACTTCGAAATCAACAGGCAGGATTCCTTAAGGATCTATTGTGTACAGACCAAATCGCAACTCTATGGATAATTGTGGAACAATCAATTGAATGGAATTCATCACTCTATATCAACTTCATTGACTACGAAAAGGCATTTGGTAGCGTGGACAGAACAACACTATGGAAGCTTCTTTGACACTATGGAGTGCCTGAGATTATAGTCAACAACATACGGAATTCCTATGACGGACTAAACTGCAAAATCGTGCATGCAGGACAGCTGACAAAGTCGTTCGAAGTAAAGACCAGTGTCAGGTAAGGTTGCTTACTCATACCCACTCTCTTTCTCCCGGTGATCGAATGCATTATGAAAACGTCAACATCTGGAGAGAAGTATGGCATACAGTGGATACCTAGGATGCAGCTGGATAAACTAGACTTCTCAGATGATCTGGCTCTTCTATCCCACACGAAACAACAATGCAGTAGAAAACGAGTAGTGTATCAGCAACAAGCTTAGCAGCAGTAGGTCTCAACGTAAACAAAGGGAAAGTTAAGATTCTTCAATACAACACAACACGCACCAATTAAATCACACTTGACGGAGAAGCTTCGAAAGATGTAAAAACATTTACACGGTGGATCTGATGCAGATGTGAAGGCACGGATCGATAAAGCAAGGGCAGCATATCTACAACTGAAGAATATCTGGAACTCAAAATAATTGTCAACAAATACCAAGGTCAGAATTTCCATTACAAATATCAAGACAGTTCTACTGTGTGGGGCGGAAACTTGGAGAACAACGAAAGCCATCTTCCAGAAAATACAGGTGTTTATTAACAGTTGTCTACGCAAAACAATTCGGATCCGTTGGACAGATACTATCAGCAACAACGTACTGTGGGAGAGAACATACCAGATCCCAGTGGAGGAAGAAATGAGTAAGAAGTACTGTGAGTGGATAGGACACACATTGAGGAAAGCGCCTAATCGCGTCACAGGGCAAGCTTTCACTTGGAATCTTCAATGCCAAAGAAGAAGAGGAAGACTACATAAACAATACATCGAGAAATGTAGACAGATATGAGAATAATGAAGAGCAGTTGAATAGAACTGGAAAGGAAGATGGAGGACAGAGTGTGTTGGAGAATGCTGTTTGACGTCCTATGCTCTATTGGGAGTAACAGGCGTAGGTAAGTAAGTAATAGAATTTTCAACACAAAGTGTTCCAACAAGTTTCCGCTTCTAATTTGTCAGTCGATCCTGACAATAAACATTGATTGGTCTCCAGTTAGAAATTAGTAGTTCAATAAATCGATATCTAAATAATGTACATTCTTTTCGATGCATATTGACAGCAACCATAATGTCACTGATCGTACGTTTTTGTAAGTTGTACAGCAAAAAGTCATGAACTGTTCACAAACGCAGTTGAATAAATTATGCAATTAGTTGACATAATGATGTGTTAAAACAAAACAAAAGTCCTAAATAACTTCTTGAAATATCTAAATGTGAGGAGCAGGTAGTGTAGTTATTTAAGCAGGCCCCAAACGAATATGTTGCACATTCAGAAATTGAGATGGTGGAGAAGATTTGTAGCTCAGGTGGATGATTTTGGTGGAGTTTTGTTCTCTGAGCTGGATGGTTTGGTCGTGGAGCTTTCATCGTTCTTCTGAACGACATCATCAGCACAAGCTTCAGGTACAGGTGAGATAATCAAAATGATTAATTATTGAATAATAAACAGTGGTACGTTCTGGTCATATTCTATCTATCAAATCATAATATGACCTTACTGATAAGTGATAAACAGTTTGAAACCTTGATATTTCGTTGAAGAAAATTGAACTAGATTACTAGGCAAAACGTTGAATTTACTTCGAATTCATTCGCTGAGATTATGTAAATACATTATTCCTCTTTAGTATCAAGTCTAGTTCCATTGTTCTTCCAACCATTATACATCTAAACATAATCCACGTGACTTCAAGTCATTTAGGCTAGTAATTACATATCCACTAAAGTCTGGATAAGTAATCAATTAGCGTTTAAGTGTTCAAGTACATACTCATTATTTTCCCTAACAATAATGAGTATAATGCAATAAATGATATTGTCTATACAAGACTACCTAACTAGTTATTTCATATTTTATTCCTTATAAAATAGTCTTAATTAGTTCTTTGATAGAAATTCATCCAAATCTTTCAAAATGATGTTAGCTTGTTTTTTTTTTTAAAAAAAGAAATGCTCTTACATTTCAAGTACCACTTGAAATCATATAATTAAGACTTAACAGATGATCTCCCAAGAGAGGCTCATATATATATATACATAAATGTAGGTAAACTCAATTAATGAATTTCAAGTGTTCTCACTTAAGTAGAATAAAATTTTGCAATAAAAAAAACAAACAAACTGAAACAAGTATTTATTTGACACTTACATAGTGTTTGTTTGTTATTAGTAATACAGGAAAGTCTTTTCAATACTTTATTTAAAAATCTTTCATATATAAGTAATAAGTAGTATAACCACAATACTTTGATGATTGAAATTTTGTTATTTAAAGATTGTTTTTAGGTTTATTTTAATTATTCATCTTAGTTGGGTGTTGTTTACAACATTGTGAGAACGAAAAGTGAATGTACAACGCATTAACCGGGTTAGTGAACGCAGACAGTTCATCTAAGGGAGTTGAAAAACCTTGATTCTAAACCAGTGGTGCACATGGGCTCCAGTATTTTTATGGGACAAATAGTGTATAAACCAATCGGTGGTCACCGGCTACCATGTGACTACGTTTGCTGACATTACTTCAGTGCCTTGTGGATAAGACCTTTTGGTCGGAGGCTTTGAGTGCGGTCGCCTAAGAGAATCACCTGCTTCAGTTTGGGCACCGAGTCAGTATTCCAGCCCGAATACAAATCAAGTGACTTGTGTAGTGCATATATATTTGGTATCCCTTTGTACCAATATTTATATGTTCAAATAAATAAATAATCTCAGATGGGTTTTGTGGATACTATAGAAATTTCAATGGTTAAGATCATGAGTCAGTTGAAGCTAGACCACCATGGAAAACCTGGAAGCACACAAAACCCATCTAATATTAATCAACATATGCTCACTGGTGACTGGCTTCACGAGGTGTATGCTGGAGTTCTAGTGAGAAGTAGTAACCAATGGAGTTCAACCAGGTCTGTTGTGAGATAGTAACTCACTGAAGAAAACGGTGGATCTGTTGCTCAATTTCATGGATTAGTTTAAATTAGACGTTAACGCCGTTGGCTGGCGGCCGGTTCAGTAGTCTAGTGGTTAAGTACTCGCGCGCGAAAACAGTAGGTTCTGGGTTCGAAACGCCCGTCCAGTGATTGCAGGTTTTCCATTGTGGTCTAGTTTCAGCTGACTCACGATCTTAACCATGGAAATAAATAATCTATAAAAATCTCATTTATTAATTAATATCAATGAATATTAATTATTTCATTCACCATATCTTTAATTATTTTGTTCATTATTCATAATTAGGAATTTGTTTTTAATTTTTATCATTAATTAATCTTAATTAAACAATCACTGAAAACTTACAAAACTAACAATATGATTATTATTAACCGAAATATAAGCGAACTGACATCAGTATTCTATAGAGAATATATATATATGGAGCTCCGAGAATTCTAGTGGGAAACCGTGATCAGTTGAGATAATCAGTGTCGGATGTGAGGCAGTTACCAAACGAAGACAATCGAAGATGGTTGAGCAATTTCGTGGATTGGTTGAGGTTAGATATTAACACTATTAGATCCCGACCGGTTCAGTGGTCTAGAGGTTAAATGTCCACGTATGAAACAGATGGCCCAGGGTTCGAACCCAGCGATCGGGGCCGTGGACGCACACTGCTGAAGAATCCGACAACAGGAAGAAATGGCCCGTAAATGCTTCCAGGTTTTTGATGGTGGTCTTACATCTATCAGTTGATGATTTCAATCTAAAACTTAATAATCTTCACAACCCTATACTGTTATATATATATAATTGTAGAGTTTGTAAATATTGATACATACTGAAATAATTATGTATAATTATAACAAAAGTGCTTTGTGTTTGTATGATGAATCGGTTCTCTGATCTATGATCATATAAAGTCCAAGAATATATCGGTAGCTAAGTTATCGTTTTTCATAACCTTTTTTGGTTGAATACATGATGATACTAAAGTTTTTGTAGAGATTTACGTTGTGTAGTTTGTTATCAAAATAAATGTAATGAAGAGGAATCTAAAAATGTGTACACATATGCGCATAGTTGAACGTGAAACGTTTATATATCGTTCGAATTGTAACGTTTGTCATACATTCATGTTCTTGATAATGAACGACAATTTGAATGAATGATTTAAACATTGATTGTGACTGAACACTATGTAGTATTGACAGGGGACCAGTTATAAAATAACTAAAGTTTATTGATAAAATGTTCACTCTATTGTGGTCAGTTTGTATTTATAATGAAGGTTTTTAATGGGTACACTTAACCAAAATTTATATCTTAAACTAATAAAACACAACTTCACTATTAGTATTGTATATCTCATTGAGGAAGATGATAATTAATTGAATTAAACCAGTGAAGGATCATTTTAATTATAAGCTGTGACTGTTAACATCACTAAATGACACTACATAGATTACATCAATAACTTCTAATCTAACTAGCATTGTTTAAATCTATAATCCATTGCCGTCGACTATCTTAAGTATTTTCTTCCTAATCATAACTTTTCGGTTTAAAGTACTTGGAAAGAGACCACATAGGTCATGATACAACAACATTCTACCAAATTTGATAAAAGATCATTAGAAATTGATTAATAGTAAAGGACTAGATAGAGATGATATCTTTCACTACTTAGTGGTAAAAAAAATGTTAAATATTTTCACAGCTAAATTCACGAGTCGATCTAAACTAGATCACTATTGAAAACCTGAAAACACTAGAAGACCATTTCGTTTTGGTATGCGACTCTTCAGCAGTGCGCACCCACGATACAGAACGTGATACATTAACATCTTTGGATGCCAGCTGAGTGTTATAAAGGTTATGGATTTGCACATGAAACCGAGGATCATGGGTTCGGGTCTCATGTGCAGGATCATGGGTGCCTATTGCTGAAATGTTCTAAACTAGGACAAGCCGGTGGTCCTGTGATAACAGGTTTTCAATGGTGATCTAACTTAGATAGACTCGTTAGTTCGACTATTAAAATATTTCAATCTCCACAAATCCCCATACTGTTTACTTTAAATATCTCAGTTACACAGGTTGTCAGTTGAGACAGATCTGGATAAACGATAAAACGTTAGTCAATAATGCTTGGTGATAGGGATTTAAATCTCACAAAAGGCATCATTTCTCTTTAAGATTACAATGATACCATACTGACCAGTGGTAATCAACAACTAGTCCAACTTAATTCAAAGTTTTCTTACATCTAATACAAAATATCAATTCATTTAACATATGATATCAATCAATTACTTACCTATAATAAATAATAATTCAACAATAATATCACATATAATTAAATCTTTTTCATCACCTCCCTGAGAAAATGCTGCATTATATGGTACCATTATAGCAATATAAAATGTACATAATAATATCATCCAATCCCAAATAATTTTAAATAAACTATAATGTAATAATATAAATCTTGATGCTTGTACATCTTGAACTTTATATTCAGGTATTGTTTCTTTGCCAGAAATACGTTGAAACTGGAAAATAAGAGAAATTGTTTTGAGAGAGAAACAAAAAAGACGAAACACATTATCACTTTCAATGGAATTGTCAATAATGGGTTTACCTGAACCGCCGTTGCGCCCCCCATCGGCGGCTAAATTGAAAATTAAATCAAATATCTATTTGGATTCAAATGTTCAGTGTGTTATCTATTAAGCTATTGAGTTCAGATAGTTATTTATTAGATTGTTCAGAGAGTATAATGATAATAAGAAAGAGTTTAGATTATGTAATTATTGATTTTATATCACTATCAAATAAGTTGATTTTCAAATGAGGATAAATTGACAAACTCGCGATGGTGACATCGTGGATTCGAACTACTGAGGAGTTCAACAATGGGGAAAAACGGCCATCCAGTGCTAACATGTTTTCCATGGTGGTCTAGATTCAATTGACTCATGATCTCAACTATTGAAATTATTATTATTAAAATAACCTTCTGATACTAACCAACATATGCTCACTAGTGACTGGCTTCAACAGATATATCCTTGAGTTCTAATGAGAAATAGTGACCAGTCGAGTTTAACTGGGTCTGTTGTGCGATATCAGCTCACTGGTGACAATGGTGTATGTGTCGCTCAATATCATGGATTAGTTAAAATTAGACATTAACACCGTTAGCTGGCTGCCGGCTCGGCGGTCTAGTGGTTAAGCGCTCGCGTGCGAGACTGATAGGTTGTGGATTGGAATCTCGCGAGTCGTGATCGTGGATGAGCACTATTGGCGAGTCCTACAATAGGTCGAAGCGACCATCCGGTGATTCTAGGTTTTCCATTGTGTTCTAGCTTCAATTGACTCATGATCTCAGTCATTGAAATGACTATAATATCTGATCTATTTGAAAAGTGAAAATGTCATTTTACTTCGACTTATTTTCAGATCATATTCCTAATGTTGAATAATACATCTTATATTCGATAGTGAATGAATATAGTTTATTTGCCAGTAGTGATCTTAAACCTCGGAACACTCTATAAAAAGTTTTCTATACATCACGTTAAATTTTGTTGGAATAGTGAGTTATTGTTTCTGTGAATAGCATTATTATTATTACTACTATTTAGTGAGTAAGAATGTGTCATTGGCCAATGTATTGCTGGAAAACATGAATCCTACAATTTGATCTATGCTTAATTATATGTTCATTTTAGGAAAATGTAATGGTAAATGCCAATTGTTAATTATGCTTAGAAGATCACTTCTAAAACGATTTCATGTCAGCAATGAAGTTTTCACGTGCAACATTACAAATATAGTTTGACAGTTTACATGACTATATGTTGGATTATGCAGTAATTATGAGAAATATAATAAATGAAAAAAGGAGACAGTCCTCATTCATATCCTCTTCGAAATCAGGTATAGATATTTAGAGATAGATATCTACATCAGACAATAAAAGATAGTTGCGCAATTTCTAGGGTTGATTGAAGTTAGATAATAACGTCGTTGAATGCATATTCAAAGGTCTAGAGGTTGAGCGAGATCGAAGGTCATGGGTTCGGATCCATAGTGCGGTATCATGAATGAGCGCTATTGAGGAGTCGCATATTAGGTTGAAACAGCCTTCTAGATATTCATTGGTGATCGAAAATTCATCTATTCATGATCTCAATCAAAAATACCCAAAAGAATTTGAAAAACCCTTTTTTTAGTGTTATAAGGGCTGATGCATAACTTGTGAAAAAGGTTTTAAAAAAGGTTGACATTTTATCACTCTTATCTTTGAACTATCTTATGGTTGTCATGATATATTTTACATAAATGAACTTGTAAACATCTGTATGAATTCACAGCGAATGGATACAAGAAAATCATATTATTATATGTGAATAACGTTACTGATATATGTAAATACCTAAATAAAATGGAACCGATATTTCTTTTGAAGATTTCTAGCAGTATTTATCAAGGTGCTAATCAGCAATATTTACATGAGTATATATATATATATATATATATATATATATATATATATATATATATATTGGTAAGCATTAGACAACATCCAAATGGTCAATGCCTTACTTACTTATCTACTTACTTAGGCCTGCTGACCCTAAGGAGAAGCATAGACCAACAACCAGCATTCTCCATCAAACTATGTCCTGGACAATCCTTTCCAGTTATTCCTAGTTGCGATTCATCCTTTCCATGAATGCTTAGAATTATCGACGCAGTGTATTCTTTGGCCTTCCTCTTTCAAAATTCCAAGTAAATGCTTGCCTCATGATGTAGTTTGATGATTTCCGTAATGTATGTCACATCCATTTCCAATGTCTTTTACTAATTTCTTCTTCAGCTGGAAATTAGTTTGTTCTCTTCGATAGTAGGCTGTTGCTTATTGTATCCGGTCAACGGACATTCAGTATCATACATAGACAATTGTTTATAGATATTTGTACCTTTTTAATAATGATTGTGGTAGTTCAGCTCTGTACAGTAGAACTGTCTTGACACTTGTAATGAAGATTTTGATTATGATATTGGCTTGTAGACATTTGGTTTTATTCCATATGCTCTTCATTTCCGATTGAACGCTAATTCGTTTTAAGCCACTTAAACAAGACATAACTAATGGCCACTTGTGAACTGACGTAAGTATCTTGGATTACTACTCTAATGACGATATTTACGAATGTTTACAAGAAATATCAGTTACATTTGATATAGATATTTATCTTACTGTTAAGTGTCATCTATATTTTTATATAGAGTTATACGACTGATTATCATGATATCTATCAGTTTAGGAGTTGTAGAGGTTGTTAAGTTTTTGATTGAGGTCATGAACCGATTGATGTTAGACCACCATTGAAAACCTGGAAGCGCTGGACGGCCGTCTCGTCCTATTGTGGGGCTCCTCAGAAGTGCGCATCCACGATCCCGCCCGTGGGATTCAAACCCAGAGCCTTCAGCCTCGCGCGCGAACGATTAACCTACTGAACCACTGAGCCGGTCGCCATCCAACGGTGTTAATGTCTAACCTCAACCAATCCACGAAGTTGCGCGACCATCTTCCATTTTACTGAGGTAGACACCTGTTTCTACCCGATACGGATTAGCTCTATATCTAAAACCATATCATTCTTTTCACATAAAATACTACTTATAAATATTCATAGTATATTAATGAATAAATTTTTATCTTTCTTACTTTTTTAAATGGTAATTTATGCTTAGATTTTTGATCAAATCGTCCAGATAAATGATATAATACAGCCCGACTTCGTCTTCGTTGAAATTTATAAACAGTTGATGGATCATTAGTTAAATTACTTGATTCATCACTTGATGTATCCGTTGAATCAGATTCATGAACTATTAAACGTGTAGGATCCAATAATTTATTACCGTTATTATTATTATTATTACCATTACTTTTATATTCTGTTATTAAAAGTGGACCACTTTCAACATCAATTGGATCTAATAGGATATTTTGTTTTGAATTATTGAGAACATCATTTATTACAGTATTATTACTTGTTGATGAATATTTCGTTAATGATTTATTCGACTCAATAGAAGTACGATCTGATAATTTTCTATTTACAATTGAAGTATTTCTATCTAATTTATTATGAGTAATGGTAGTTGTTGTTGTTGTTGTTGGTGATAGTGGTAGTGGGGGTGGTATTGTTGTTGTATTCTTTCTAGCACTTAAATAATCTAATAATTTATTATTACGAAATCCAGTTGAACCAAGAACTGCTGCTGTAATTGTTGTTGCTAATCCCATTGTTAATAAATTTGGTGTTTTATTTGATGGAGATGTTCCAGTTAAATGTTGAGCAGATAACATATATGGTACTTTTAAACTTGATTCAGGTATACTATAGTTGGCTTTATCTAGAATTTATAAATATAATAATTGTGATAAAAATAAATGTATTACCAATAACTGAAAGCATTTAGGATAATAATATAGAACAATGATAGAATGAAAATGAATATTAAGTAACATGGCAGTAATGCAATGAAATCCAGTTTTTTTTAAGGTTTCCAATGGTGGTCTAACATCCGTTGGTTCATGATCTCAATCAAAAACTTAATAAACTCCACAATCTTATACTGCTTATTAACACGTGCTCACTAGTGACTAGCTACATAAGGGAATTCTCGGAGTTCTAGTGAGAAGCTGTGACCAGTGAAGCTAATCCGTGTCGAGTAGAGACAGGTATCTAGCTCAGTACAATAGAAGATGGTGGTGCGATTTCATGGATTGGTTGAGGTTAGACATTAACACCGTTGGATGCAGACCGGCACAGTGGTCCACTAGGTTAAGCGATCGCGCGCGAAACTGAAGCCCTTGGGTTTGAACCCTGCGGGCGGGATCATGACTACGCACTGTTGAGGAGTCCTACAATAAGACGAGTTGGCCTTCCATTGCTTCCAGGTTTCCAACAGTGGTCTAACATCATTCGGTTTATGATCTCAATCGAAATCTATTGTATTTAACCTGAGTGATCATCTCGTTTAGTTTCTAGCATTCATGTTATTGGTTATAAGTTAATTTTCAAATAATGAATGTCTCTTAGACACATAGAAAATATTTTTGGTGTACGATAAATTCATTAATGACATATACAACTGTGACACTGAATAATTCTGTAGGAAACATGAATTCTATGATGATGTCTAAAACACTGTACTCACTTACGTCAAGTAACACAAAGGGTACATCGAAGGATTCGTGATGATTACTGTTATACATATAAGCTCTTCACGACATTAGAGCACAACTGAATTAATGATGATGGATAAATAAATTTAGAAAATTTTGGTAATTTATATAATATTGGTAGGTATTGAAAGAATAGTGATGCTTCTCTAGTTCTCATACTTGTTTAGATCGCCTTCCTTTAATACATTGATCAGGTGTTTTTCTTTCCAGTCTTTTGATACTCATTCTTTATCCCGAATCTTGTTGAAGAGAATGTTGAATATCTTTGCAGTTATTGCTACGTTTGCTTTCAGTGTCTCTTCTGGAATGTTGTCTAATCCCACTACATTGCCGCTCTTGTTTCATTTCCTACTTACTATAAGCTTCATATATATATATATATATATATATATGAATAAAGTCTGTTTTGTAGTTCTTCCTAGTCTTTAATATTCATTTAATTAATTTGTAAATACAATATAAACTATAATCTTAAATTAATAGTAATATATTTACGTTGATATAAGTAGTATAGATGATTGAATATATCATGAAATTAAAATCTCTTTAAGATGGTTGATAATGATAGATGAGTGAAGTAAACTCAATTTCCTGATGTATATAATTATGAAACATAGTTACCATTATCATTGTATATATCGGAGAAAAAGGCACACACACACACACAAAACACAATTCCAATAGTCTTAGTTTCAAAACAGGTTGGAGGTAATAACAAATTTAGCTGATCTTGACGTACGTTTTTGTTTCTGTTTTTTTTTTTTCGTTGTTGCTTGGATGCATATAACAAATGATGACCATTTATAACAAACTGATCCACAAAATGATTATTTATATAAAGATTAATTACTTTGATATATGTCAATAAAGTGAGCAATGTAATGACATAAATTATGATATTTACACTGGATGATAAAGCAATAGTCATGGTTTTTTTAATTTTTAGTTAATTGAAAAAATGTCAGTATAGAGTTATGAAGATTGGTGATTTAGATTGATATCATGAACGAATCAATGTTAGACTATTATTGAATATCTGAAAACATTGGACGAACGTTTTGTCCAAGTATGAGATAAGAATGCCAGCATCCGCGATCCCTCACATGGGACTTGAACATATGACCATCGGTTTCAAGTACGAATGATTAAACTCTAGACCACTGAGCTTGTATACAACGGTGTTTATGTTTAACTTTAATCAATCCACGATGTTGCTCTACCGTTCACTATTGTCTTCTGTGACTGACTACTTCACAAAAGACACGGTTGAATTTCACTGGTCATGGTTTCTCACCAGAACTCCAGGAGATCGATCTTGGTGCTATCTACTGTTGGATGATGGTTCAGTGATCTAAAGGTTAGGTGTTCGTAGGTTCAAGCCCCACGTAAGGGATAGTAGATGTCTAATGCTGACAAATAACTCTTTCCGAATTCATAAATTTGTTTTAAAGTATTGAATAGTAAACGTTTCACAACGATATGTAAACAAGTTACGTGTCTTTGTATGTTGATAATTCTGAAAATGATTCAAGCTAATTGATCTAACAACATAATAAATTATCTAGTCGAATTAGTTATATTGTGTAATAGCTGGAATAAAGATGTTTCAACTTGGAATTTTGAATGGAAACGGAAAAGTGGATGGCCAAAGAACACATTGTGTCGAGAATTGGAAGTAGAAATGAAAATGATGAATTGCAACTAAGTATAACTGGAAAGGATTGTCCAGGACATAATTTGCTGGAGAATGCTGCCGATTGATCTATGCTTCATTACGACGTGTAACAGGAATATGTAAGTTCCGGATTATTATCAATCTACGTTTGGTAAATCATTCCTTTATTCAAAGGGGAAATAATTCATCTCCTCTTAAATTCAAATTAATTGATTAATAGATAAAAGGATTCAACTTAATTATACGAATAGTCTCATATCATACTCAAGTTATAATCCTGAATGACTAATTATTGGTAAGCAAAGTCCTGTTTGTCCAGTACATGAACACTATGTCAAGTAAATTAATTCTAATTCAACTTCGTCAATAAGATCTGAATAACACTAAGAACTAGATAAGAACGAGATTAGCTGTAAATAATCGGTTGATTTGTTGCATATTACATTAGCTCGACCGCTAGCTAAATAATCATTCTAATAATTATCAGTTATTTATTGTTGATGAATTTAGTTCATTAATAAATTCATTCAATCATGTGTGATTTTGACCTCTCGTCATTAGACAGTCTAATAAATCTAGCCCTCAAATGTCCTGGTACGGTTGTGAGCGGGGAGATTCGGCTCTCCTTATCCATGGATACGTGCATACAAACACTGACAGGAAAAACCTACTCACTGCATTTTCACGGGTAGGGGCATTGTTCACGAAATTGAGAGGACGAAAAGTGAATATCCAGCGCTTTAACCCGGTTCGTGGACATGGAGAGTCCACCTAGGGGAATTATAAAACCTTGATTCCAAACCAGTGGTTCATATGGGCTCCAGTATCCTGAAGGAAAAAATGGCGTGTGAACCAATCGTCGGTTATCGGCTACCATGGGACTGCATATCTTGACACTGCTCCATCGCCTTGTGGATTAGATCTTTAGCTCAAAGGCTGTGGGTGTGACACACTAAAAAAACCACCTGCCTCTGTCTAGGCACCTGGGTAATATCCCAACCCTCATACAAATCGAATGATTTATGTGACGCATATCTATTTGATGCATCCTTGTACCAATGTTTGTGTGTGATATGTGAATATCAGAAATAGAAGAAAATTATGATAAGAAAAGTTTTCTATCATTGAAAAAAACAAAACAGAAGAGAATTTTAATCAATCAACCTATTTTTTTTCTTTACACATAGTAATGACATTAACTTCATTTAATGTTTGTTATTGATAATTTCACTTTGTGTTCTTTAGCCTTATCATTAAAAGTCAATAGAATTTTATGTATCTCATTTATTATCAGAATGGGTTTTTGTGGAGATTTTTAGAAATTTCACTGGTTGAAATCATGAGTCAATTGAAGCTAGACCACTACTCCTTGAGTTCTAGTGAGAAGTATTGACCAGTGGAGTTCAACCAGGTCTGTTGTGAGATAACAACTCACTGAAGACAATGGTGTACGGTGGCGCAACTTCGTGGATTAGTTGAAGTTAGACATTAACACCGTTGGATGCCGGCTCAGTGGTCTAGTTGGTTAAGCCCCTGACGCGAAACTGATAGGTCCTGGGTTTAAATCTCTTGGGGAGTGGGGTCGTGAATGCGCACTGCTGATGAGTCCCGTACTGGGACGAAACGGTCGTCCAGTGCTTCCAGGTTTTCCATGGTGTTCTAGCTTTAATTGACTCATGATTTCAATCAGTGAAATTTCTCCACAAAACCCATTCTGCACAACTTATAATTAATTGAATTCAGTATTTCATTAATAGAAATTAAAAGAATCCTGAAAGAAAAGTACATTTTACCCTATTAATAATAAATATATACTTACTTCGTCCATGTCGATCAGGCGATAACTCTTTATGAGATACAAGAAATAGAACAACTTGTGATTTGTCATTTTTAATTGGTACAATATCCAATAAACAAAGAAATGGTTCATCTTTAAAATAAAAGTAAAAAGAAAAACAATTATATTAGAATATAATAATAATAATCATCAATTTGATTGTAAATATCATAGATTGTTATCATTACTCATAGTTTGTTTTTGTGAGGACAGTTCATAGGTGAAATTGAGGAAGCTCTAAGAAGTTCAGAAAGTGACGAAGATATTCCAGAATGCCTACGTGGAGCTTTTTTATTGTACAAATGCTAATAACTACCTGTATGTGGATTAGAGGACAATAGTGATGATTTCATTTTTACTAAATCTATAAATACTTGACAGTTTTGTATCATATTTGACACTGTTCGTTTCACATGTCTTCTGTTTTCTCATTTGCGACTTCAGAGTTTTTTAGTATATAAGTGTTAAATCATACGCCGTATATAAAGAATCTAAACTCTAGATATAACAATTCAAAATTACATTTTTATTTGTTCTAGTATGAGATTCCTTAGCTGTGTATCCATGATCCCAAACGCGGAACTTGCGTCAGGACACTTAACCTCTATATCACTGAGCCGTCATCCAATAGTGTTAACGTCTAAGTGCAATAAATCCACGACATGGTATTTCACATTCATCTGCAACACTGAATTAACATTTTATAATCTATCTATGAGATTGAACCTAAAATATTTTATTGCTTATCATTCTAATGATATGAGGATATAATAAAACAGAAGTGTATGTAGTATGAAAATTCAACCCCATCTAATGTATTTATTGATTTGTCCACTCTCTTTATAACCCGAACCCAATTTGATTATATGCACTAATTATCGTAATGAAATTATTTATTTTCATATTACTTTCCGTTCGGTCCTGAATTTGAGTCGGAATTTAGTTGACGACTCATTACTTTGAAACCTATTTAAACACATAAACATTAGTACAAGAAGGAACCAAATAGATATGCACCATTTAAATCATTCGATTTGTGTGACGGCTGGAATTCTACCCAGGTGCCCAGATCAAAAAGGTGATTTTCATGAGGGGGCCACACCAGGAGCCTTCGACCTGAAGGTCTAATCCAAAAGGCAGTGGAGCAATGTCAAGAGATGTATTCCCATGGTAGCCGGTGACCAACAATCGGTTCATGTGCCATTTGTTCTTTCAGGATACTGGAGTCCATGTTCACCATTGATTTGGAATCATTGTTTTCAAACTCCCCTAGATGGACTCTCCGTGTGTAACCAGCCGGTTAAGGCTCCGGACTTCCACTTTTCGTCCTCTCAATTTCATAAACAACACCCGAGTTGTGAGAATACAGTGAATACAACTTCCCAGTCAGTGGTTGTGTGATGGAAAGAAAAGTCAATTTTCGATTGATTTACTCATTATGAGTTTTGTTCAAGAATACTTCCGTTTTGATTCAATGTAATGATTACTCAATGTGGTACTGCGTTTGAATCCCGCGAGAGGAATCGTGGATGTGGATGATTTGAAAAAGTTAGTCTTCCATTGCTTCCAGGTTTCCAACGGTGGTCTAACATCAATCGGTTCATGGTCTCAATCAAAAACAATACTTTGATGTGATATTCATTGACTTATTACCTACCATTATTCATTTATACTAATTCAGTTTAAAGTCTATTTTTATATTCCTACTTCTTTTTCTTTTTTTTTCCTTCAGTTATACCTAATATTCAAGGACTAATCATTAAATACCTTTAAAATTTATGTGTATAAATGAATCTATTCCCATTTGAAATTATGGTATTATTTTAAACATTGAATAAAATCATGACTTGGCAACTATTTTGTTTTATTTTTTATTTTTATTTTTTTGGATGATAAGGGGACACATTTGTTCCTTATTGAAAATATTGATTTCCGCGGTTATTTAAAAATGTTTCTATTTCTCTTTTTTTTTTAATGACATAGTAACCGACTTCAATTTTTATGTTTCATGTTTGAAATTTTCGCTTTAGTCAGTTTTTTTTCTTTTTTTAAAATGTTGAATCTTCTATTCGTTGACACAAAAGATCAGTTAATATGGTTTGATTTATGTAAAGTTCATTATTGGTATAACAACAGTTTGTTTGTTTCTTTTTTAGTTTAGTTTGGATTAACATATGTTCAAATGACGTTTACAATATTTTGTCACTGTTATACATAATATATTTGTATATTTAGGTAACATATTCTTTAGTTATACTCAATTGGTGTAGTTTATTTATATCTTCCTAAAGTTATTTAGGATTAACATTGATCATCGGTCTTTTATTGGCATATGTGTATCCCGTGCTGAGTGCCTCAGTATTGTCTGAAATCACAAGATTTATAAGTAAAGATGAAAAGTGGCTAACAGTTTGAATACAGGATATGCGTTTCGTCTTATTTGGGACTTGTCAGCTGGATGTACCTGCATCTCAGTGTTGATGTTCACTCTGGGACTCGAACCTAGTACCATTCGCTATTAAATCTTGATCGCCATTTGCTTGTGCATTGCGGTGAAGTTATATTCGCCTGGTATTATTTACTTGTATCTTCCCATTGTTATTTAAGATAGGGTAATCAACAACAAAGAAAAAATAGTTAGTCAGTCAGCTACAACGTAGGACCAGGCACATATATGTATTGGTTCAAGTTTCCACACCTCAACACAGCACAACAAATGAACACCGGATTCATAGGAGTGGTTAATTCAGTGGTAGTAACATACAAAAGAAAGATTGGGTATAAAGATATAGTTCAGGAAGAAAGAATTAGTTCATAGAAAAAAAGATATAAATCAATTTTAATCTCATAGTTTAAAGGAAGACAAAAAATATATACACCGACGCCATTGTGATCGATTCTGAACCATGTCAAAAACAGTCTCCAACCATTGGTAAGGATAGTCACGCGGACCCCAATCAAATAGTCTGCATCTACTAACATGCCACAGATCAGAAATTAGTGACTTCAAGTACTGATGCCACGTTTTGTTTCGGCCGTCCCTAACTTTCTTCCGACCATGCCCAACACTAAGCAGCATAGCGCGTCGTGGCAATCAATTTTCAAGCATACGCAACACGTGGCCCAACCACTTTATTTTACGTGTTGATGCAAAATAACATTCCATAATGTTAAATTCAATCTAGAGTCGTCAAGTTACCTGAATCAATACTTGAATACTATCAAATAACATTCATGTATTTGAATAATGTTGAATAATATCAAATGTGATTTTGGATATAATAAAGTAATTTTTTCATGCAATTGGTTCCCTTTATGAATTTAAATAAAGCAAGAACAAATATTGATGCAGAATAGTATGAATTCATATTATTTCGAGGTTTCTCGTCAGCTGCTTACAAACCAAAAAATGTGATAGAATTTTTACATGGAGATAGAGTGAAAACAATTGACATAAATGAGTGTAAATAACTGGGTTACAATAATAACTATATATATATATATATATATATATATATATATATATATATATATATATATATATATGCTAGAAATAGGTCAGAGGTCAAAAGAAGGGGGTTAATCCAGGTTGGGTGGTGTAATAATGCAATTGAATAATCATAAGGTAGGTTACGTTAATATGTGTCTTGATAGAAATTCATATATCAATAAACGAATTATCAGATTGAAGAATTGTGGAGATTGTAGTAATATAACGGTTAGATCACTAGTGAAAACCTGAGATCACTGGACGGTCGTTTTGTCCTAGTATAGGACCCCTCAACGATAGGCGTTCGCGATCCCCCACGCGAGATCAATGACCCACGGTCTTGTGGGCAAACGATCGACCCCTTGACCACCGAGCCGACCGGAATCCAGCAGTGTTAATGTCTAACTTCAATCGACCTATGCTCTTGCATAACTCTTCATCCATTATCTGAGGTGGATAGCGTTCAGCAACAAGACTGAAGCTCCTAGGTTCGAGACCCACGATCAAGGTTGTAGATGAGCACTACTGTAGAGTTCCATACTAAACCGAAACAGACGTCCAGTGCTACCAGGTTTTTAATGGTGATTTCTAACATTGATCGATTCATGAGTTCAACTGTTATAATAAACGAATGATCAAATTATGCTTTTCATCTTTCGAATTGATAACTAATTCATTTAAACAATCTTATTTTATGAAAAGCATAGAACATCATTCATTTAGTTTGAATAACCATTGTAATTAATTGTCAATGTAAAACAATTGTAGATTATAACCTAATAATTTAACCTCTCAAGAATTAATTTATTTCATTTGTTCCACATTAATCTACATTGTTATGGAAAGTTCAATAATGAGTTTTATAATTAAAATGATTAAAAAAATTTAATTTCATCAAAATGAATTCAGTTGTTGATTCACAATTTAAGTAATATGTATATTTTAATGGTTAAGATCATGAATCAATTGAGGCTAGACCATCATAGAAAACCTGAAAGCACTGGATGGTTGTTTCGTCTCAGTATGGAGACTCCTCAGCAGTGCTCATCCATGATAAAGATTCGTGAAATCCCAGTCCAGAACCTATCAGTCTCGTGCATGAGCGCTTGACCTCCGAACCACTAATCAGGCATCAAATGGTGTTAATATCTAACTTCAACTAATCCATGAAATTGAACGACACATCCTTAAACAGCAGCATCACGAGCTTATCGTTAACTAAGAATCCTGAAAGGAAAAGAAAAAAACTGGAAAACCAAGGAATAGACTGAGTCGGGAATTGGAAGCAAACATGAAAATGATGAATAACAACTGTAAAGTATTATCTAGGACAAAGTTGGATGGAGAATGTTGGTGGTTCCAGGAGGAATGACAGGCGCAAGTAAGTAAGTAAGTAAGTATGTATGTATGTATGTTTGTATGTATGTATGTATATTGAAACATGTAATGTTTTCATTTCATATTCAATAACAAATACTCAAGTTCATAACGAGTATTTACGAAAAAACTATTAGTAAACTAAGTATGTTGCCATGTAAAAAATATGACATTATTCTTGTAAGCGTATGTATGTAAGAAATCCTGATCATACGTAAAAATAAGACAATATTCAGTAAACAAATTCTAAAAAAAGGAGTTTTATGTGTGTAATTTATAGATAAGTCATTTTACATAATGATATAAAATGAGAAACTAGTAAAATCCAGGCTTGATTAAAAAGTTGATAATGTATGATTACAGAATAGATTAAGCTATGAACATTTGAATCTCGTTGTAAGTACGCTATTATTATTCATTTATTTGAACATATAAATATTGGTACAAGGGGGTACCGAATGCATATGCACCACACAAGTCACTTGATTTGTGTGTGGACTGTGATACTACCCGAGTGCTCAGACCGAAACAAGTGATTTTCTTAGGGGACCACAAACGGAGTCCTCGACCTAAAGGTCTAATCCATAAGGTAATGGAGCAACGTCAGAAGATACAGTCTTATGGTAGCCGATAACAAACAATAGGTTCATACGCCATTTTTTTCTTCAGGATCCTGGAGACCATGTGCACTATTGGTTCAGCATCAGCGTTTTCCAACTCCACTAGGTAGAACCTCCGTATAAACAACAACCACGCCACAAGAAGGCAGTGAATAGAATTTTTTAGGAGTGGCTTTAAATGCGTGGCTAGGTGAAAGCGTTTCAAGAGGGAGAGCGAACTCTCCCGACCTTCGGCCGTACGTTGGCCAGTCTGTGAATCCAAATCTCATCATGAGTATATATATATATATATATATTAACTTCAGTTGATTCATGATCTTGTACGTTCAGTATGTATATTTAACTTACAGACAGTGAAAACAACTATTTGGGATATATGTATAGGCTTTTTAATATATAAATATGTTAAGGCTTTCATCCATTGCATTATTATGTTTTAATGTATAAAAATCATCATTCTGTTTCTTTTTTTGTTTCTAAATAGGTGTAGAAATCACCTTTTATATGGAATAGTTACTTTATTTCCCGCTAATTACATTTTTAATGTTCTGAGTTCCGTGAGAATTCGACCTTCAATCATTTACATTATTGTTAGGCAATTAATCACAATGGTAAATACATAGTATTTTATTAATATTAATAAACTTTGAAAACAAACAGAAATTATTTAACTTTTATAAGAGGGAATCAAACATTCTTAACATTCATTCGCAAGGAATAATGGTTAATTTATTGACGGAGTTTTGTTCTCTGATCTGGATGGTTTGGTTGTAGAGCTTTCGTCATTCTTCTGAACGACATCATCAGCACAAATTTCATATAGAAGTGAAGTGTTCGAATTTCTCCATATGCGTTTCACCGTTTGTTCTGTACACCTCGACGTTGATTGGTTCTTATTAAACACTTCACTTTCATCTGAAGTTTATGATGATGATGTCATTGAGAAGAACGATGAAAGCTCCAAGACCAAACCATCCAGCTCAAAGAACAAAACTCCATCAAAACCATACACCTTAGCTACAAATATTCTACACCCTTTTAACAACAGCAACAATAACAACAATAGAGATATAAATATCCTTAGAAATTATTTACTTACTTGTCTTCTTATGAAATTGTATTTCAATTTGTAATTCACATTTCTTTTCTAATGTATTTAATATTGATTGTTTTGCATTATCATCGGTTCGTTCACCCCAAAGAAAACTACATGAACAACATTTTGACATAATTTGTGATCTATTATAACCAGTTAATTCAACAAATCCATCAGAACAATATACAATAGGATAATCATGTACTTGTGCATTACCCAATACAAAATTACTATCTGTAAAATAGATAATAAAATGGATATTATTATTAGTAGAGATTGTAAACCTAAATATATTATAAGTATAAGAGAAGAAAATTCATAGTTTTAACTTCAATTTAAAAGATAAATCAATTGTGATTACATCGCAGTCCTATAGGAGGTCGGTTGTGGCTCGGATAGCTCAGTGGTAACGTCTCTGACTGCGAAGCTGGGTGACACGAGATTGAATCCGTCAGGGAGCACCAGTTCCCTCAAGATTACAGGTACACCTTGCAGATGAGTGCCAAGTAGCACGAAATCCGTGTCATCAGGGTTTCCTATCGACTTCCTCCAACCAACACCTAATCTCAATATATTGTGCCCGAAATGTCGAGTCACCTAGACTGGTGGTCACATTCCAACATGATCAATAGCATTCGATCAGCACTAATAAGGACTAGACACGCATGACATTGATCTCCACCCAGTGATCAATCAATTGTAAAGGATAAAAACTTTATTTTGAAGGTTATATCATGAGATGACTGCAGTTAGACTAAGTAAGATTAAGGAGCCACTGGAAATCTGTCTGGTTCCGATATGAAATTCCTCAGAAGTGTTAATTGGCGACTTCACGGAGGATCGATTGCTCAAGCTTTAAGTTCTGTAGTGAGTACTTAACTTCTAAATCATCGAGTTGGCATTTATTGACTTAGAATTCAATCATCAATGAATTCGTGATATTGAGTGATAGTTATTTTATTATTATTATTTGTGGGTAAGTACTCCATTCTCTAATAACAACGTTTCTTTTTTATAAATCTAGTAACTAGCTTTCAAAAAGATATTTTGTTCACCTTCAGATTGATATCATTTTAGTCAGATCATTCAAATAAGTGGTTGATATAACTAAATTAGATAGCAACTCAAACTGATGTACATACGTACGAAGTCCTACCTTGTTGCTAACTGAGTGACTGAATGTTCATTAACTGACATGAAATACCAAGTCATGTTTCTCTGAAAATAAAATGTGATAGTGTATGCGCATATTTGATACCTAAAAACTAATTGGTTAGAAATTAGTTAAAGATGATATTTGATAAGTAAAAGGCCATTAATATTAATAACAAGGTATAACGAGAAGACTGCTTCAACTACAAAAGCCATCATCCACAAGATAAAAGTGTTTATTAACAGTTGTCTACGCAAAATAATTCAGATCTGTTGGCCGGACACTAATAGTAACAACCTACTGTGGTAAAGAACAAACCAAATTCCAGTAGAGGAAAAAACCAGGAACAAGTGCTGGAAATGGATAGGACATACATTGAGGAAATCACCCAACTGTGTCACAAGACAAGCCCTCACTTGGAATCCTCAAAGTCAAAGGATGCCGGCTCAGTGGTCCAGTTGGTTAAGCGTCCGCGCGCGAGACCGAAGGTCCTGGGTTCGAATCCCGCTCGCGGGATCGTGGATGCGCACTGCTGAGGAGTCCCACAATAGGACGAAACGGCCGTTCGGTGCTTCCAGGTTTTCAATTGTGATGGTCTAACATCAATTGGTTCATGATCTCAATCGAAAAGAGGAAGATCAAAGGACACATTACACCGGGAAATGGAGATAGACATGAGAAAAATGAACAAGAATTGGATGGAACTAGAAAACAAGGCCTAGGACAGAGTGTGTTGGAGAATGCTGGTGAGCGGCCTATGCTTCATTAGGAGTAACAATCATAAGTAAGTAAAGTAAGCATTAGTATACAGAATAGTTAATTGAGTACAGTAACAAATTCAGGAAAACAAAACAAAAACATAAAATTGTTGTTCTGTTTAGAACACATAATATGTAATTACTAGAATCTTGACTATTCATTTAAGAATATTATCAAACTAGATAAGAACTAATCATTTTGAAAAATTGGGTTTTTTTACATTATGACACAAATTTTAAAGTTAAGTAAATGAAGAGGAGAGATTGAAGAAAAATGGTTATGAGAAGATTTAGACTGATCAATTGCACTCTTAAATAACAATGGAAAGATACAAGTAAACAATAACACAAATCAATTTGAACTTCACCTTATTGCACAAGCAAGTGGTTATCAGGACTTAATAGCTAAGTGAATAATGTGATGGCGTTTCAAGCGAAAGGTATTGGGTTTGAGTCTCAGGGGGGGAACATCAACTCTGAGATGCAGGTACATCCAGTTGACGAGTCCTAAATACGATGAAACACGCATCCAGGATTCCATTATTAACCACTATCCATTTTTGTGAGAAATGAATGTTCTAAATTCCATTATAATTCATGATTACATTATAAATTTCTGTTTGATATTTTCTATTTAAAAACAATTTGATATGATTTACAACAACAAAATAACTTAAAACATTTTCATAGATAGTCATGGTGATATCTGTTTTCTTTTTAAATTTTAAATTAAAGAGTATCATTTTCTACAATTACACATTGTGTAGGTAGGATACATGTACATTAGGTTATACTTATATATTTGATGTTGTCATAGCAACAAGAAAAACTCTTTTACTAAATTTACTATAGATTCTAGACAAGAGTGACGTAAATACATTATTTTTTGTATATAAATTAATATAAACATAGCAAATAACATGTTATACAATTTGTTTCAATTAAATGCATGAATACCATAGTGAGTAAATAGATTTATTGTTCTATTTATACTCTATATTAGTAATATTAAACATTACATCTAAATCTAATCGAATAGTTTCACAGTATTTAGTCGCCGAGTTAATGATATAAGAGACATAAAGGAGAAAGAATGGTTTTTGTAAAACAAACTTAATGAATGAATGTGAATTATATCCAATGTTTTGCCTAGTAATCTGGTTTAGGCTCAGGGTATAACTGCTTGAGACCGGTCGCGCATGGCCTTATTGTGGAAGTTTTTCGACGTGTTAGCTCTGTTTTACAAAGGGCTTTAACTCCGGAGACGGAAATCTGTGAGGTAAGGCAAGGTGTGATATTTTTAGGGCTGACCTATTCTAACCCTTTCCTTCCTTGTAAGAAGGCAGCATCGCTGCAGATGCTGGTTGTACGAGGGAAAAACCTTACTGCTGTCACACTCCTCCACAGTCAGCAGTTCGACTTCACCCTCAGACCTTAAGTTGCTGATTTTAGTCTTATTGTTCACCAATCGACCTGCCTGGTATTGTAGAACCTGCATGAACATATGTTCTAGCCAATATAACTTGGTTGGGTCATCATGATAGGCAAGCCCGACCACCACGTCAAGGTAGCAGATACGGTCAGGGACTGAATCTAGTTTAAACTTTTTCAAAGAAATATATCAAATGTTAGAAATTATTGGATATAATTAGGTATAGGATTCTCTGATTCACTGTATACAAAACAGGATGTCTAATCAACATTATTAATGTTTAAATTAGGTATTTACTTCAGGGTGTATAAGATATGTCATTACGCTGAGAAATGGAAACAGATATGAGATGAATGAACAATAATTGGATAGAACTAGAAAGGAAGGCCCTGGACAGAATGGGTTGGAGAATGCTGGTAGGTGGCCTATACTCTACTGGGGGTAACAGGCGTAAGTAAATAAGTAAGTATTTAAGCGTAAGATATGTAATATGCAATGAAAAGCGTGTTAAGATAATAGTTTATTTGTATTTGTAAGTGGATCTAAGTTGTGTGAATAGAAATTTCACTCATTATTTATCGCCTCAGAGATGATTTTACAATTACATTCTTCTTCATTATATTGTAATCCCTGTTTCTCAAACGGTTTCTCTCTTGAAATTTAATCAAAATACAAGTACATTTTATATCATAGGTATATATATAATTAATGGACGACCTTTGAGCGACCCCGAAGTTACCTTGAGATTGTCTACCTACTTATTAGGGCTACATGAGGGTTACAAAGCAGTTTGAAGAATAAGGATTATGATCCACAGTTGATGGTTAGAGTTATGAACTCAATTTATGGTTTATCATCACGAACTGACATCAGTTAAAATTCCAAGACGCTATTTGTTCAAATGAATGGTTGAATTTCTTATGTGAAGCCGTGACAAGAGCTGTTAATTTATGTCGAGTATTAGGAATGTAGCCAGCAATGGCAACCAAAGATGGTTACGCAATTAGGGGATTTTATTAGTTAGATATATAAACTATTGGATGTCAACTTAGTGATTCGTATGGTTAAACGCTTAATGCAGTTTTGATAGTCATAGTGGTAAGTCTTAAGCTCTTCTAGTAACCCCCAGGCTGAATCTACACAGCGACTTGAACACAAGAAAAAAGGTGAGAAATGCGAAAGAAACGCTTTACTCCCAAGGTTCGTTGATGTACAAAAACCCTAGGGTTTTTATATTATTTTAGATAACCTTAGGTTCCCGGAAAATTCTGGAACGCTACTAGACATAGTAGCAGTATAGGTAATCATCCAATCAGAAACTTCACACGTAACTTCTCACTTTCTAAATATTTCTAGCAAAACGTTCAATGAATGCTGATTAAATTAGATGCTTCTTAAAGTTTTCATGGCCTTTGTTAGCGTTTTTCGAGGAATTTTTTTCGGATCTCACTAACCCATAGGTTCAATCAGCCGTCGGGTCACGGGAGCGTATAACAGATGAGTTATATACTAGAAAAAAGTAGCTACCCTGTTCTAGTTTCTAATTGTTTACAAACTTATATCGACTCGTGATCTTAACAACACTTACCAATCTCCACAATACCTTTATCAACACAGTAAATATATTTCAGTTTACACAGAAAATTTATGATTGGAGTTTAAATCCTAAATATGTGTGTTTAAATAACGTATTTATGGTCAGAATAGTAATGAAACAAAATTCTTCCTTATAAGAAGGGAATTTGTAAATATTATAGCCATTTCAATGGTTAAGAACATGAATGAATTGAAGCTAGACTACCATGGAAAACCTGGAAGCACTGGACGGCACTGAACTGGATGTGCACTGTTGAGAAGTCTTACAATATGACGAAACGGTTGTTTAGTAATTCCAGGTTTTCTATGGTGGTCTACCTTCAATTCACTTATGATTTCAACTATTGAAACTTACTATTTGTACTAATGATGGATAGTTTGAAAGACTATGATATAGTTCGAGTAAAATCTACTATGTACATTGATGAAACTAAATAATATAATGATCACATTTTCGGATTCATATTTATATAGTAATTTACTATGACTAGTCTGTTTCTATTGGAATTTGTGAAGTGGTAGTGGATTTCTTGAATTTAGATTGATGTATAAACGTTTTATTCGTATTAACAGGGGGAACTTACGAACTGCTTTAATAAAAAACTTCCTGTCTATTGAATACATTACAATCTAAACTCAATGACTCAGTGGATAATACATTGATATTCGAAGAACTATTTATCATGTTCAAGTCTGAATTTGAACATCAATAGTAAAGTCTAGCTTTATCCAACTGACAAGTCTCAAATGGAACTAAACACTAATCCTGCATTCTATTGATAATCAAAGTTTAAATGTAGTCAACCTGTTTAACAGACTTAATCTATGTTCAAACGTATAGAAATTTCTAATGTCTAAAAATATTCAGGCTCAAGACTATCATTATTACATAAACCGTTTATTTTGTGTAGAAGGCCCAAGTAGCATCTCTATAATTATTTATTTATCCTATGCTGTTATATACATTGTTTAATTCTTGAATTATCAACTTTTACCAATCTGTTTAATTGATAGAGAACTATTTATTTACAAACCAATGTATAATCATAGAGGAGTTTTGTAGATATTATGGTAAATTAATAGTTGAATCTATGAGTCATTTGAAACTAAACCACTATGGAAAACCTAGAAACACTCGATGGTCGTTTCATTCTAGTATGGAATTCCTCAGAAGTGTTCATTCACGATCCCGCCCCCTGCGAGATATTCGAACCCAGGACATATCGGTCTCGCAGTCAAGCGCTTAACCACCACACCACTGAGACGACTGGCATTCAAC